TCAGTTCTAATTTCTTGGGCAATGGATGTCAAACTACAGGGTAGTTATAATTAAAGTGACCCTATTCAGACCTCTCTAGAACCTATTCTACTTAATAAATTTTGATGAAATTTGGTATATATGTTATATGGAATGTGGGAAAACGATTTCTGCAATAAGAAATAGCTCAAATTTTAACCACCAGGGGGAATTGTAACCCCTAGAGAAGTGAAAACAATCTGTCAGAACCATTAAAATTTATTCAGTTACAGAATGTTTTCAATGTATGCTACGTTGACATCAATTATGTGTTGAAAGCGCAATGATAACACAAAGTAACTCTCGAGGGATTTTAGCAAGATGGCGTGTAATTTTGGCTTTCAACTCAGGTAAAGTCCTAATTCCTGCTCCGTAAACACGATCTTTTAGGAATCCTCACAACCAGAAATCACAGGGATTTAAGTTGGGTGAACGAGGAGGCCAGGCATCCGGAAAAGCTCTGGATATTACACAGTTAGCACAAAGCAGTTCTTTGACTTGACGCCCAATGTGGGGAGTTGCTCCATCTTACATGAAGACAATGGTCTGCAAACATTCCTACTTCCTATAAAGTAGGAATGACTTGCTGTCGAAGGAGTTCACTGCATTGTGCACTCATGACAGAGCATGAACCTTGAGAAGTGAGTGTTTCAAAGAAAAACGGTCCAAGGATAAAATCAGCAATAAATCCACAACATGCAGTCACATAATTGGAATGCAGTGTTATTGGTGCAAGACATTAGGAGATGAAGCATTCCCATATGTGGCAATTTTGATTATTCACAGCTCCATCTAAAGAAAAGTGCGCCTCATCTGACCATAGAATTTTCTAAGGCCACGAGTCATCAACATGCATTCTCGGCAAAAATCGGCAAGCAAATTCAGAGCGTGTTTAGTGATCTTGAGGTTGCAGCATTTATACTAAGTGGATCTTATACAGATACTTTTTTTAAATGGATTGCAGAATTTTTCATACTGTCGACCAAGGAATGGCCAACACATGTGACACTGATTGAGCACTTGCTGAAGAATAACGGGAACTGGAGGCTCTTTCAACCACAGTAGTAGCGATGTCTTTGACAGTTTCATTCACACCCTGTTTCTGCCTCTTCCTAGCAGCACACTCAAGTTTCCAGTCGCTTTAAATTTCATAATCATCTTCTTCAAATTATTCTTCGACATGGGCCCTTTTCACAATCCCTTTAAACTTTCTCATAAGACAGTTTTACCAGTAAAGCTCGATCTTTTTTCTGTAAGGGCATGATTAAAGATGACAAAGGCACGCAGAATGATTTTCTAGCTCTGACAGTCTCTTTATAGGTTTGACTAATTTGCATTTTGAAAATTGCCATCTGGTGATCAAATTTTGAACTATTTTTTATTGCAGAAATATTTTTAGTCCATATAATGTATATACCAAGTTCCATCAAAATCCGATAGGCAGAACGGTTTTACAGGAGTCTGAAAAACTGCCCTGTACATCCCTTTTCAGGCTTTTCAATCATTCTATCACATATAAAGGCATCTTGGTGTTTTCTTGTAGATATACTGCTCGTACAATCAAACTTTCACTTGCTGAAGAATACCTAGAAATGCACCTTCTTTTTAAGTTACTTTGCACTGCGCTTGTTGACTGCTTGCATTTTGTGTGCACTGACCTTCCCTGTGATGCCATGGTGCTCATATTTACATGTACATCACTTTTCTATTGAACTGACTTTTCATTGTACAGATCATAAAAATTCCTTTCAACAGTTTCATGGTTTAAGGTTGGAAAACAAACTGCTAAAAATGCAAGATAATTTGTCTCCAATAAGTTTCATAAACTTGAAAATAATGTTGACATTACCATAACATAGCATACAAGCTACGTATGATTCTTTGTTAATGAATGTACAAGGACATAAAGATTAGTGCTTATAGGAGTTCCATACACAATACTAAGAATTCTAAAGAAATGTTCCCATAAATAAACAAAAGTATAAACTAGCTTGATGAGTATTTCATACCCTTAGAAATAATTCTTATCTGACATACAAGGATCTTAAATTCAAGGATTGTAAAAATCAAGTGGGTTATATAAAGAATTTTAGAAGAAAGACATAAGCAGCATAAATCACCCAGATGAGTATTTTATGCATTTATTCAAATTGTTTATCCTTCAAGGATCTAGACATGACAGTCTGTATTAATAGATGATACAAAGGATTCCAAATATCCTTGAAATCACTCGGTTATTTCATGTGCTTTGAAAATAGATCTTGAGTAACGTGATAAAGGCCCAAAGATTAGGATCTATATAAATAATTCAGTAGGTGATACAAAAAAATTCCAAAGAGAAGCTCGTATAAATTTCTGAATGAGCATTTTATGTGCTTGAAATAATCATTGTTTAATGCCCAGTAACCAACATCCGTATTAATTCACTGGAGGATACAAAGAATTCTTACTATAAGACTGTACTTGTGAAGGTCAATTTAAAATGTATGTTGATGCCACAAGCCATTAAGTATATTTTGTTTTTCCAATATTAAGGAATACATCCTGGAATAAGAAACATGTACTGTTAGTTAACATTTACATCAAATTACCGTATTTGCCGGCGTATAAGATGCACCCCCTTTTTTCTACACAATTTTGAAGGATGAAACTTTATTACTTATCATTATAATGAATTTACAGTATTTTAAATATAAAGAAATACAAATACAAAGTAATACTTTCTGCAAATACCCAATCTATCTAGGAAGGAACATCTTTTAATCTCCTTCGTCAAAACCCAGACACTCATCTCCAGAGCTAAATGAAGAGTCACTGGAAACTTCTTATAAATCAGCATATGAGGACTCAGATAATAAATTGTCCTTTGTACCATCCAGTATATTACTACCTCTTCCTGATTCTGCCGAGTTCTTATCATTTTCTCAGTTGGGGATGGCTCAAAATGCGTCTCTGCAGCCCTGTTTCCACGTTCTTTAGCATGCGCAAATGTAGCTTGTATGCTATATTATGGCAATGTCAACATTGTTTTTGAGCCATAACTTGCCAACAAATTTAAGAAAATTTAACAGTAGAAATTTCACACACTTAAAAATCATTTACAAACATTAGAAAGCTTAAACGAACCCAGCTATTTATACTATTATTAATTAATTAAAGTAATAGAAAAAAAATTATTTGTTTTTAACAATTCAGGGCTGTTAGAGTTTCAATAATCTTTATTTAATAACTAAAAATTAAATAAATGCTGGTACTTTTATTAATTGCATGAATGAGCATGCTCTTCCATGTTTGGATGTATGCTGGTAGTGTGTGTGTTCCATGTTTGGATGTAAATCTGAGACTGGGTCACACATCAAGTCAATTTTATTCCTTTGTTTTCATTTGAATCAGTGGGGAAAACCCTTTCTTACACAGTTATATTGACACCAAACTGAGTTATAATTTTAAAATTCACTACATTCCATTCTTAATAGTAATGAGTTCCAGAAATTACCTTTTGCTTGAAATTTCATTTTAAGTTTAATATCATTAGAGAAGTTAAATTAACTGTTCTGATTCATTAAATGACAGTTTGTTATTATCAAAATCACAATGGAAAGGATCAGGAACCCATGAAAATTCGTTACATTTATCACTTGGAAAATAAGTTTCAAACTGTGGCCTCAGAGTTTCAGGATGCAGACATACATCACTCATAATTTCTTTCCATTAGTGATATATGTTCTACTGAAAGATTCTAAGGCTCAGAATGGTTCAGAATTCTCTGATTTACACAACTAACCCACAAACTAAGTTTTCCATCAAGCTGTCTGTATTTTCTCAGAGGCAATGAGAATAGTCAAAGAATTTCTTTATAGACAGGTATTAATTCATTTAGTTTTGAGGATACTTTGAGTTTTGAGTTCATTGGCTTCACTGAGTTTTGAGAAAGGTATGCCAGTATACTTAGTCACATGTCATCAGCAGTAAATGATATAAAATCTTGTTAATTTTATTTATAATTAATATTTTTGCAAATTTAGAAAGACCACAATGGCAGGTTTCGAGGTCCATGAGATATAATTTGAGAACTCCTGAGTTAAGTAGGTTGTTTAATGTTCTGTTTTTGCAGTCATCCCCAATAATGCTGAAGGGGAAAAAAATCATGTTTTTGACAGAATGCAGTTTTTTTGTTTTGCTATTACTGATGAATGAATTTAAATTACAATTTTAAAAACAGATTTGAAAAGAGCTAAAAGGAGTTAATTTTCATTTTTGATAAAAGTTCTCTACAAAGTTAATACAGTATATCAATGACGGTCAAAATTTTCACACATGGTGGTCAATTCAAAATATGTATCAATGCTACAGACCACATAATATGTTTTGTCTAGCCAGTATTAATGAGTACATCCTGGAATAATAAGTACTTTATTTCAAAATACTATTAACTACTATTTACTTCAAATTAGCTTTTATAAATAGTTTTGCAAATAGAACATTGAGACTAAATGTAAGATTATAATGTTTATGTCCTGCATCTAATATAAGTAAATGGAAACACTGTGAGCACTCATTCAATCTAATAAAATCGCCAAAATAAATGTTCACTTCCAGGGCTGTCAAAAATTTGCACATATGTAGATGTTATGTGTGTACTATATGCTATCAAAAGAAAGCATAAAAATATACTACATTCAGAAAATGTACATTCATTCAGAAAGCCCATAACTAATAACAACAATGGTAATAAAATTTTTCGTTTTGCTATGGACGACTGCTTTTGCAGACTATTTTCATTTTGCAGTAATAAATCCTGGCCATATAATTTCCTTGGCAATGCGAAATATAGTGTAATTATTCATTTATATTTCAAAATTAATCTTTGTGACAAGGTTAAAATAAGGTTTGAATTAATCTTGAAGTGCTACTAGAAATGTACCTAAAGAGAAGATTTGTTTAAAGTTTCATATCAAATACAAAATATTTGATCTTTTCAGGTTAATCCTCATAAATACAGAAACTAATCAATGCATGTGTAGTGTGCAGCCATCTAATGATGATTGTTCAGCAGAATCAAAGGCCATCCATGTATCAGAATGGCAAAAAAAACAAGAGGCTCTGAGGTCATTATACAGGCTTGTTGTTGGAACATATTTCAAAGAAAAAGATTCAGATGCAGACCGACGATTAAGAGCTGATAATCCATGTAAGTCATTATAAATTGTCTTGGAAATAAAATTCATGTAGTAATAATCATATAACTTTGTTAGTATAGTTTTTTACAAATTATTCTCTGCTTTTTATTTTATTGACCTTAAGCAAAATATAATTTGGTTTTTGAAATTAGTGACTAATTTCTGTTACTTGGCTAACAAAAAAACTTTTGCTATATCTTGTAAAATCATAAAGAAATAGCTTTCTAATATTTCAGTATGACTACACATATTTTTGGGAAACCCAACTAAATCTCTGAAAATATATGCAATCATACCGAAACACACACACACACACATGTAAAAGTGGTCTATATCCTACACAATAAACATCAATAACATATAGCAGATAAGACCACAAAGTTGCTATGTAAGGAAAAAACTCAAATTTCGTATTATTACTTGCGTTTTTAATATTTACATTGTTATTTATATTTAAATTAAAAGTACAATTTCAGAATATTGCCTATCAAACTTAGTTTCAATGAAATGTTTCAGTAATCTTTAAAAATTAGTATTTACTAAAATTTGGGCTTATATTTAATAAAAACAAATTAATAAAAATTAAAATAAGTAATCTTCTAGATCCAGTGATTTAAATACCTATAGCTTAAATATTTAAAGAAATAAATATTTAGAAATTATATGAGAAATATGTATTAATTTAAATATAAAAACTGCTCCTTTTCCAGGTCATACATTTGATTTTGGAAATTGTGACTATGGCGATTGTAAACCAGGCGAGTTTTATATGTGCACACAAGAAAATAAATGCTATGTTATTAATGAAGTTTCTTATCAGATTTATATTCTTTATAACTATGAGATTCCACTTTATGCTATAAGGTAAGTATATTCTACTTCCAAATATTGTTTTCATTAATAAATGTGTATCTTATGCTTTTTTTTTTTTTTTTTTTTTAAATCTTCATTTGGGTCTCAAAATCTGTTAAAGCTTAATTTTTCTTGTGAACAAATTGTCATTCTTAATTTATTAATTTAATTGAAAAAATTATTTCATTTGGCAATTTTTTTTTTTTTTTTCATGCAAAGTCTATTAAAATGGTCATTTGGCTCTTTTATAGAAAATTACTGTAAAACACTTTAGTTTAATAGTTATGTTTTATATTGGTATTAATTTTACAATATAAATGACCAAGACCTAAAATTACTATGTATTAAATTGGTAAACATAACTGTTACATAAAACTTTTATATTTATTTTTTGAAAAAATTTTTGTTACTGTAATCTTAGTTGAATTTTTTTTTTTTTTTTTAATTTATATCACTGATTGTTTTCCTAAAAAGTAATAGGAGTCTGTTTGAAAAACAGAATATCAGTCAGTCTTAGTGTTTTTACATGATGCTGGAATAATAGCATGATGGTCAAGAATCCGTGGGATGCATAAATTACTGAATTTTTGACATTTATTACAAACAATCTCCATTATTGTATTACAACAAGTGCAAAGGCTGAAGAATGAAACCAAAACACTTGGCAAATATAACATTCCTTAGCCAGCATATACAGTTTTCATTAGGAAATTTAAATGTTTCAAATTTTGTCAACATCAGCACAGTTGAAGTTTTCAGCAATACTGGAGGTAAATTTAGAATATAGAAAATTATAGGACATAAATAAAAAATAATTTGAAGTTCAAAAATGGACATATCATTGGTAATTATTTGGCTAGTATATCTGTTGACCAAAACAATATATCCTTTTGAGTACTAAGGGCCGCCATATCCCGTATCATATCTGTAAACCTAGAATATGCAACAGTTTCAATCAGAGTAAGTGACTGTGGAGGTAAGAAAAAGTTATCCAAAAAGAATGTTATATTCTTAAAAACAGTTATAGCCATGAAATGAAGCTTATTCAAATTGTAACAGAACTTAGCATTCTAATGTACACACCTATTTCTACATATAGAGCATGTTGGGAGCCTCGCAAAGTTAATATTCATGATTGAGAGCTACAAAACTATCCTACAATCATGCCCCAAATCCATCCTTGCCAACATAAGTCCACATCCATGCCCAAAATAAAGTGTGGAGATGGAAAGGTGATGGCTTTAGGAGGGCGATTCAAGGAAGTCTCTGAGAACACTGACTTTCTTAATGACCACATCACTGCCAAAGACTGTTGAACTAAGTCCACCAATTGGTCAAATTCATTGTAGCTAATACATTCCAAGACTACAGTTGCTAAAAGGGAATGCTACTGAAACAGAATATTATTGTAACATATGCAGTTACAATGTGATTGAAAAAGTATGCAAGTAAGCTAGCTATACCTAGTTAAATTTAATTGACATATTATGCTCTGTATTATTATTGAATAAAGTAATAATGAAATATTCTGTACACGAGAAGACATTATGTATGACAGTACGTACTTCATTACCGAATAAAGGTATGTAAAATGTTATTTTGTGCTATATCCTGGAATATATTTTCTTTCTTGTACCTGTAAAAGTAAAGGATTCTGACATTTTTAATTTCCATAAAAGACAAATAAGAAATTAATGAAATGCATTTCTTGTACTATACAGCATAACACACTAATTCAACTAGCATTAATAACAAACAAGTAGGGTACTTTCTGGTTATCCCCACTTAAAAGTCTCCATAAAGTGTTCATGAACAAAGCAGTATGTCACCAAAATAGTTATGTACCATCCCACTATGTTGTCAAAACGTATAATGCAGAAATCCAGGTATGAACATAGTACATTTCTGCTCTGGTCGATGCACAGGGCTGAAGTTAGACAGATGTTGAGTTTGTGCAATTCTCTGATTTTTTTTCAAGTGGAAAAAAAATTGCTATGTAATCGGGAGAACAACAGCACAAAATAGAAGAATATCTTGAGTTCAGAATTTTATTACTGATGTTTCTTGGTTTTTTTAAATTTTATTGATTGATTGCTATTGTGCAGAGTTCTTAGCGTGCCAATATTTTAACAATGGCTATTGCCTTTGACACATAAGCCTGATGAAAAATTAGTTACCAACAAGTTTGAAGTAAGAAGTTCAGTAAGAAGGAGAATAATCAGAATGCTAGTAGCTTTCAGTCACTTGTAGCATCACTAGTGTTATGTTTAAGGCACTTATTATGGTAAATAAAAACTTTAAAGAGTAATAAGGCATCAGTAATACATTTCTATGGATAATAGGATCATTGATAGAAAAGAATAGAAAAAAGTTTAAAAAGAAGTGTGGGTATGGGAAAAAATATAAGTAATAAATCAAAGGGTGGCCAAACTTCATGACAGTAGTATGCACATTTTAGGATTCAGGAAATTTCGATAATCGCTGCTAGATTTTCCAAGCCTACAATTCTGTATTTACCATATTTTAAAAGTAATGAAACAGAAGATTTTCATGTAAAGAAACATTTAATGAGAATTTCACATTTTTTTAATATAATTAATGTGGCTACATACAAATATTTTATTAAATATAATAAAAACTTTATTATTAATGTAACTGTTCCAAAATAAGGTTTCCAAACTTGTCTGTGAAGATGGGACGAAATGACCTCTGTATTCTTGAAGAATCAGCGAACTGTTATTTCTTCTGCTCTGTATTCTGGAATCCACTCTACTACAAAGTGTGTGAAAAAAAATGATCAACTAATGACCCTCAGAAATTTTTAAATGTGAACTAAACAAGAATGATGTCTAACATAGTTAAATAATTAAGATACAATAATATGCCGAGGAAATACTAATTCAGAAGTCAAACAACAAAAATCAGCGTTATACTATTTTCAAATTTTCACAGGACTAGTTTCGATGGTTTTACCGAACCACCATCCTCAGCTGCAGAAGCGCAAATGAACAAGATAGGATATAATGATTAGATAAGATAAGAAAGACTGGACAGAAAATAAGCTAGTGGTGCCATCTGTTGAAACCAGAACTAAAACATAATTTCTTTAAAGGCCGAAGGCAAAGATGGATTGGAATTAGGATCGTTAACTAGAACAGAAAGATTTTTTTTAATGTGAAATGCCTCTAGAAAATCCAGTTCTCTAATGGAAGATGTTTTTTGAATAATTTTGGCAGCAGAAAAATTGAAAGTGTGATTTTTGGACCAACAATGTTGGCAACAGAAGACTTCTGTTTTTAATTTTTTCTAACATATGCCTCATGTTCCTTGATGTGAAATTTTAAGACTCTCTTAGTTTGGCCAATGTAAATTAAACCACACTAGCAAGGAATCCTAATAAATACCCCAAATTTTATTTACTGCAAAGCAAAGTGCCGTAAATAATAATGATAACGAAGAATAGCAAATCTTCAGAGATACAAGACTAATAATAAAACATAAAAATAATACCTAAAAGAAAAAAGGGGAGGAAATGTAGTGTATTATTTTTTAAATTATCTTTATATTTTTTGTGCTGTCATGAAGTCCATTACCTGTTCTAAAAATAATATGGGCATTACAGTAATTTGCAAAAATGCAATTGTTTACCATTTTGTGTGTTACTTTGACCATTAGCTGATGGTGGACAGTTTGAAATCAATTAAATTATTGCATGTATAATGTAATTTATAAAATTTAATTACTAATTGGTAAAGAAGTTTTGCATAGTTTCTATTTCAAAAAATAAAACTACTGTCTAGTGTAGATGAATCACATTTAAGGGACTAAAGAGCTTTATGTGTTTTATGAGCCACAGTTTGATCTTGCCCGTCATTTACTCTGCGACCATTTGATAGTTGAAATTCCTGTCCTGCTGCAAAAATATGGAAAGACAATACTGGACATGTTGCAGATGCTATTGGTTTTGTTATAAACTATTGTCACTTCATTCGCATTTTTAAACTTACAGTTTACAAAATTTAAGGAATTTTTTCCCCTTTCTACTATTTCAAGCCATAGATAAGTGAAACTGCAGCTACAGCTGATATTAAGACAGAACTGTATATCTTGATGATGTTCTATGTATTGCAATGACAGTTAGTGGCAGAGTGTTTCAAAGAACATGAAAGTGAGCTTGCATATCCTCCACAGCTTGTCTCAGATATTCTAGAAGGAGGAATTTAAAAAACTTTCCTCTTTCACTATCATGATGCGAAATAGCTGTATTTTGAAAGGGGAATAGCTGAAAAAAGTTTTAATGATTAAACAAGATTTATATTGCCTATTTTCAAAAACTGGTGTAGTATGGACATATTTAAGAATGTCTACACTGTATTCATAAAGTATTGTACTATAAATGCAAATGTTTCAGTTTATTGTCTAGCCCTTGTATGTTATCTCTTCAGAATATGCATAAACAAATGCTTTCATTATTATTTATTTCATTATTACTTCATTATTATTAATCATTTCATTATTATATCATTATTATTTAATAATAATTTTCATTATTATTATTTATTTCATTATTATTTCTTGAGTTATATCAAGAAAGATAGAATTAATATAACATTTTCTTTTAGGTCTGTATCTCATAAAACTTTAAAGTTGTTGACTGAAAAAAGGCTATTTCCTACAGTTGGAAAATAACTGGACAAATTCATTATTCTAATGAAAATGTTTCAAAATAAGATTTCCAAACTTTTCTCTGAAGATGGGATCAAATGGCCTTTGTATTCAAGAATCAGTGAACTGTTAAGATATCAGCTTTTTTTAAAGTTTTTTATACAATGAGATTGCTGTACTTTTATTTAAAATGGAACATATCTTAACCTACCCATTATTATATCAATAATATAAAAAGTTATTGATATAATAGCATTTGAAACATCAATAATTTAAAAAGATACAATTTCTTGAATTTTTATTGAGTTAACATTTGAAAGATGAAAGACATGAGTACTCATTTTAAGAATTAGATCTTTGTTTTTTCATGTTTATGAAAAGCTACAACATACCCTACAATGCAGTGGTTAATTTTTTTACATCTTATAGTGCAAATACAGAATTCCACTTTAAGTTAAAATCTGAGTGTTTGTAGCATTTTAAATCAATTGCAAACTGTATTTTACACAGAAAAAAATTCACAAAATGACTTCCATGGTCAATAATTCTGTGATTTTTTTTTCACTGATGTAATTCGATCCATTTAAAAAATCTACTTGTTAACTTATGCTACCAAATTAACTACTTCTGATATTGTAGGTGTTTCTTGATTAGTAGTACATAGTAACATATTTTCAATGTATCATTCATATAATATCAGCTGTAGTTATTAATATTCTTCAAATTCCTTCACATGACAATAAAAAGGAAGGTTAAAAATCATAGCTGAAATACGATAAATGCACCACAGGCAACTAGGAAGCGCTTCACCTTCCCACTACTGACTAAAGGTTTATTACTGTGCTAAGTATTTGTTACATTATATTTTCTTCCAGTGGTTAGTCTTATGAATTCACTTGGTGCTGTGTAAAAATAAATATAATAACAAAAAACTTAAATCAGTAAGCATATGCTACTGATAATTGTTCAGTTCTTATCTCATGCCTTAGAATTTAGTTCACAGTAAATGGTTTATAATCTTGCATTACAGGATAAACAACATAAATCATTAATTATTTCGTATATTTTATTATGCTTATAAAAAAAGGCCATCTGAAAAAATCAATTGGTTATTATTTTGCAAAAAGAATTGGAAAATTAAAATAACATAAGTAAAATGTGTAATACTATTAGATTTTCAAAGGCCAAACATTATCTTCACTTATGAAAATAGAAATGAGACAGAAATGCATGTTTAGATGCAAACATAGGAAAATCATCGAGAATTTTCTAGACAAATGAAAGGAAATGAAACTTCTAATACCATCTGTGGAGACAAAATAAAAGTGAAACAACTAAGTATAGAGCTCTTTAGAAAATTATGGGTTAAAAGGAGTAAGAATTCAGACCATTACCTTAGAACAAAAAGGCCTTTATAATTATTATAAATCTACAAAAAATCTAATATACCAACTGAAGACACTTTTTTGGCATTCTTACAGCTGAGCACTGGAAAGTTTTGGCTAACAATATAGTGGATGATTTTCTTCTGGCATTAATTTCATGTTCTTTGATGCAAACTTTCAAGGCTAACTTTGTTTGACTAATGTATGCTGAGTCACACTCACGAAGATTATTTTAGATGCCCCATGAATTTATATTCATGACCAAGGTACAAATTTTATTAGTAGAAGGGGAAAACACAACGAGATAGTATACTGGTAGAGAGCGTATTGCAACCTTCAACCGGTTCCAACATTAGTGTCATGTGACTGCTGCGTGAATTCCGAAAGTCCGGAAATACTTTACATTGCTTTCTATGGGACGAAAGACTGCTGCTCTGCTTGGTCACATAAAATTTAAGTAAAAATGGCTATTCGTTGCAGCGCCTACCGATGTAAAGAAAGTTTCGTAAAAGGAGGACTTGTAACCTTTCATAGGTAAGTTAAAACTGCATGATTTATTATTTTATTTTCAGTACTTTTGTCATTTTACTATCTCTGTTGAATTGGTTGGAAAGTTTCAGCCATATTGTATAAGAAAATTGCCGCCGTATATGGCATTTTCAGCATGTATTATTAGCATCAAAATGTATTAAATACCGTGACACTATTTACTGGAATCACCCTTTACAAATAATTTAATTTTATATGTTTTTTCCGTGTATTCCGTTGAAATAGAAAGCTGCGCCAATTGGCGTTAACTTTTTTCGCCAAGTCATACGCGTTTTGATTTCATAAACAATTACTGCCTGCGATTAAAAAAAAGAAAAAAAAGCTATTATTAGCATTAAAAATTATTGAGATAAAGATTGTGCGATATGTTTACTTTGTTAAAAAAAAGCTGAAGATCTTGATTCATGCAACATTGAACATAAACAGTTAAACAGCATTATTTTAAAAATCAGATTACTTTTATAAAGCTCAATGCTTTATCATTCTTTTCTATAAAATCAATTAAAATAAAAATAACCTGGATTATAATTCTGTCTCATCTACGATGCTGTTAGAAATTTATTGTAATTGAAAAAATGTGATGTGAAAAACTTATCACTAATTAAGATTGCATTATTTTGTCCCAGTAATATAATCTCAAGATAAGAGAGTGCATTATTTTGTTCCAGTAATATAATCTCAAGAAAAGAGAGGCAATTAATGGCATAAATACATATAATACAATGTGATTTTCTTTTTCTCTTTAGGATGCAATGCATTAAAATTAAACAAGATTTTTTTACCTTCTCAAATATTATAATAGTAGTGCAATTAATTTTGGCCTTAACGTTAATTCAAAATTAAAGTTTCCATCTCAATTTTTTATTATTTATTTTAGATTTTCTTCCTAAAATTATTTAACCTAAACATCTTAAACAATGGTGCAAATAATTTAAAGCAATTATTAAAAATATAGATAAAATATTCAGGAAAAAAGGGGTTAAGTTATATCTAAAAATATAATTGTAAAAAATCGAACAACCTAATTCGAGGCCGTTGTCTGCTAGCAGACGGAAATAAAAAGCACTACCTGCCATATCAAAAGCGGGCCAAACTGGCGATGAACAGCCTAAGCTATCACTCCCCAAGAGCGCCAAGAGCATTAGTCACGTGGTATATGTTGGAGACACCCTAGCAGACGAATTCTCTGTGGGTGAGCCGTCCACCTGTTATATGAAGTCGTTGGGAAAACAGTATGAAAATTAAACCTATATATATAGTTTTATGATTGAGTAAAAAAAAAAGAGTAACTACTTAATTCTAATAATTGCAAATGCGATAAAATTTTCAATATAGAATGAGAAAACTTCTTTCAATTGAAAAAAGTTCTTAGCTTCTTTCTGACAGGATTTCCAAGAGCTAACTTGGAAGAATAAACTTTAAGTGCATGAGAAATGAAGGATTTTTTTTCCCCTCCCTTCTTTCTCATTTCTGCCCCCATAGTTGAAATTAGTATTTTTTGGCCAACAAAACTACTGTACTACATATTTTATTTCCAATTACAGTATTACTCATTCTGTTTGGTTCATTTGTTAAATTGTATTCTCTTTTGGATTTAATTTGTGTGTCATGGCCAGGTTTAGTAGGTAGTCAAAAAGAGTTACATCAAAAGTGTTACAGACACTTCAAGGTGGTCAAGGGAAACTTGGTTCAAAGCATTATCAATGCTTTTAGGCAGTCAGCGGGGAAGGATCTCAAAAGCGTCATGACCACCTTAAAGTGGCCGTGCAGATGCCTCTGTTACCCCCACACTCCTGAAACCCTACGGATCTCTAAATGACAACTCTCAGTAGGTAGTCTAAGGGAGTTGCTTTGCTTCATTTTAGACCACTATGTTTGATGTCTAAGAAAGTGCTTGGGCATACAACTTCATATCAATAAGAAACAGGCGTGGACATTCTTCACTAAGAAAGTAAATTTTAAAAAATGTAAAGTTTTTCCAGTACTGTATTTAAACAAATAATATTTTCATAAATTATAATTTAGTATTTACTCTAAATGTTGAGAAATATGAAAAATGCTGGTAAATAAAATTTATAAAGTAACATATGAGAATATTTAAATAAATTTACTTGTAATTATATAGATGTGTAATTAAAACTGTCAAGTTAAAATAATTATTCATGAAACAAATAATATTGCAGTTGAATAACCTGAATTACATATAATTATATATAAAGAATAAAATTACTTAAGTAATAAGTAAGATAAACATTAATCAATAGTCTATTCTAATAAGTTATAATAAGCCTATGTTTGATACGGGCTTATTAAACATATTCTGTTTAGAACAATACCACTTATACTGGTTTGCTGAAATTCTATTCTAATGCATTTAAAATATCTCAGTACTTTTAATGTACACTAATTTGAATGCGATTTTCAATAGAAAAATTTTTAATGAACATGCTTTTCTTGCATACTTAATGTTATTCATAATATATATTACTTTGTTTACAGTAACTGCAAACATCAAGGCAAAGTTGAATTAAAATTTTTGTGTTTAGTTGCATAAATTATTAAAATAACTTACAGGATAATATTTGAGTTTCCAAAATATAACCCACAACTTTTCTAAGAGTTTCAAATTTCAATTTTTAAAAATTAGCTGTAAGTAAAGAAATAAAATGGATATACTAATAATAAACACAACAGCTAGCTTTTATTTTTATTTATTTTATTGTTTTTGAATATATATTGTTGGCAGGTGGTGCAGTTGTCATTGGGAAATGACACATAATGAAGAAGAATCTGTGTTATTTTTCATTTGAAATGCATAGAATGTTTCTGTAAAACAATATCAGTCTTATACTGAATTTTATCTAAACTATTGCAGTGATATTTTAACTTGATTAGCATATCAAATACAGTTTCATTTTAATTTAAATAACTTTATCAACAGTCGAAACACCTTTATCAAACACCTTTTGAATCATTAGATAATTTGTATCAAGGCAATTTTTATAAATGAAATATTAAAAACTAATCTTTTTTTAAATTTCTTAATCGCATTATTATGTCTTTGGTCTGCAAGGCCTGAGTAATAAAATCTGGGTCCCAGGCCCGAGATTCATAGGTCTGGGCAGTAAAATGACCTTGTCCTTCTGTAGAAAATTATCACATACAATGGAAGAGATTAATATTTTAGCCAAAGCAAGATTTTTGTTTAATCTTGTATTAGAGATGAGTTTCAAGATTTTTACCATAATATTATTATCATGTGTGCAGAATTTTAATATTTTTTACTGTTTGCTTTTACACCTAGAAACTTCAACCATGCAGAAATGACTTAAGAGAAATTTTTGATATGTTATGTGTTGTTGTTGTGACTTATCTCACTTGGCTGTCTAGAAAGCAGAGCAGGACCACAAATTCATTGTGGCAAGGAGTATAAGACTGTTCTTGTCATTGGCAAGAGCCTTGAGCACCATAAAGGTGACAGTATGACTTAGTTTCACCTGTAATTTTGATGGACAGCACCCCAAGGGGATGGGTCCGAGGGTCTCCCACCACTCTTCCCCTACCAACAACCTTTTAAAAGGACTTTTGGCTCGCCGCATATTTAGAGTGGATTTCCAATAAGAACATAGACAACCAAGTAGTATACCAAGTAGTTGTTATAGTATTTAACTGAATATGAAAAAAAATTTCTAAAATTCAAAACCTATTTAAATACTTTTAAAAAAATTAGTAAATATTACACTACTTTTGTGGTTCAAATCAAATATAATTAAAAAATGTTAATTTTATGTTAGCTGAAAAATACAGTATGAAGTGCTAAACGCAAAATCATGGTGAAATACAGGGGTTGGAGAAAAATACGGAAGCACCTAAATAAAAACATGTTGTCTTGACTAATACGGTGCAGGAAATCCATTGACATTCAAAATAGCTTGCAATCTTTTCGAAATCGATAAACAAAGGTCATGTATGGTTTTCAAGGGAATCTTGTAGTATTCTCCCTGTAAAACATGGGCATGTACTGTTAACAATGATCGTAGTGGATAATGCTCATGCAGATTTCTCTCCAAAATACCCCACAAAGACTCGATAATATTGATATCTGGTGACTGTAGTGGCCTTCACCCTCAAGGCTTAGAAAAACAGTTCTGGACTGGCAAGCTGAGTGAACAGAAGCTCTGTCGTCTTGGAACATGGTATCACCATTGGGGAACAAAAGTTTTAACATAGGATGATCAGCCAAAATGGTCACATAATCCTTGGCAGTAATGTGACCTTGCATAATATGCTGGGCCAATGAATTGAATCAATGAATGAATTGAAGTTGATCTGTCAGCACTATCCTTATCTTCAGGGCAGATGTTTTTATTTTTATTCCGCTTATAATTCCTTACTAAATGTAGTATTTCATCTCGATGTACTTTGATATGATTTAAATCAAATTCCTCGTCATTATAAATATCACGAATACACATCAAATAGTTTTCTGGTTGCAATTTTCTAATTTCGACTATGCGTAATGTATGCTTTACGCATGCGCACGTTGAAAGAAATGTTTAATAAAATAACCAAATAAATATTAAGCTTTTTTTGTAAATTTTGATACCCTTTAGTTCATAATCGCTCTTTATTTCACAAATTACGGTTTCATATTTTTAATTTTTATAATTTCTGCATGCCATCTTACCAGATTTTAACTGATGATCTATAATCCATAAAAACCAATAATCCGAAATCGCCAAAGTCCCGAAGAGTCCGGATTAAAGACTTTTGACTGTAATTATCTTACTTAACATACCTACCATTTTAAGTCAATATTTATATGGTATCTTCAGTCAGTTATTATAATACTGGATGATCAAAAAGTAACAGTAAATGTAAAAATTCAAGAATTCGAAAAATATACACAATGCAGAATGTCACTGAAATGCACAGAAAGATATAAGAATTTTTGTTTTAATAATGAAAGATTTTATAGCCTAAATAGTTATTTCTTCAATTGATAATGCTTCAAGTGTATCAGATGTTTGTCAGACAATGGCACAGCACAGTTGATAGTACGGCAAGGATTACAAATGGTCTGTTTGATGGCTGTTACTCATGAGTATGATTGTTAAACATGACATGACACTCTGCACGGCACTGAAGAAGACTTAAATTTTAATTCCCATCACATAAATGCATATAACCTTTTTTTGAATATGGGCAATAAATAATTTTGGCTATCCTCTGTACACCTAACCAAAAGTCACAAGGTGTTAAGTCTGAAGACCTTGGTGGCTATTCATGTGGGAAAAAGCCTCTGAGTATATGATCATTATAAAATGTCAATTACAGTAGGTGCTAAGCAGAATCTGTGCAGAGGCATTCTATTCTGTATAAATGCTGCACTATGGAGCACTTATTTCTCATTCAAATGAGGAAATCATTCTGTCTCATAAATACTGCATAATGCTCAACTGTTATAAAACAATTTTAAATGTCATTTCCCAAAAGAAAAAGATGCTGATAATAAATCCACACCATCCTACCATCTCTGCCTAATGCAAATAATTTTTCCACAATTGTATGCAATTCTATCTTTATCTCTGAGGAAAAATGTGCATCGTCAGTTCACTCAACTTTTGACAGCATTTTCATTGTTTTCCATCTGTTAAAATGCCTAATTAGCAAATTCATGATGTCTCAAAAATCAGCTGGTTTTAGTTCCAGTATATCTTTGATTTTGTAAGGATACATCTCCAGGATAATCCTGAATGATGATCATCACACAGTCTCGTAAAAAACGCTGTGGGAATGGGACAGTGATGAAAATGTAACTGTTCTGTCAATAAAACTTTTTGGTTTAGTGCATTAGTTTCAGAAACTACATCATGCCTACTGTCTGTACTATTTGAATTATTGAATGCTATCTTTTTTTTTCCTGTTATTTTCAGATAACCCAATGAATATAAAACACTAAATCAAGCTTGCGGTTGGAGGTGATTTATAAATCTATCAAAAAGTTTCAGTAATGCTTAGGATTTTTTTTAGATGAATAATAAAATGAAAAGTTTGTTAGTCTTTAGTTTTTGTAAATCACTTTCTTCTCATTAACACATTACCAACCGATTTTTTTTTCAACCTATTTTCTGTAATTCTATCTCTGCAAATTATACATATCTCCATTATTAGTAAATAATTGCTATAATTTTAACCTTTGTTTGAAAATGATTTAAAAAGAAAAAGAATAGATTTCCTTCAGGAACAAATTGTTATGCACAATCCATACTTGACATTGTTAATTTATCATTATTAGAACTTTAAAGATATTAAATAAATACTATTTGTAAGCTCTTATTTTTATTAATGTGAAATTTTACTCATAAATAAGAGAAGAAAAGAATGTGTATAAATCAAAATGTTTTATACAGTTTTTTTTGCTTCAAATAGTAATAATTGAATCTAATAATTTTAATTTAAGTTGCATCTTCTTAAATTACAACATTCATCAGTGTTGCACTAACAGTTTATGTGTTTATATAGACATGTTTATAAAAAAATTCCAAAAAGGAAACAAATTAAAAAATGCCGGGTGGCAAGGCACTTTGAAAATGAATTGAATAACACTTTCCCATTATATTATGAAAAACTGAGTGACTGTCATTTTTCAATGTGAATTATTCATGAAGAACCTATTAAAAATAAACAAGGTGTTACAATTATACCTTGCATTATATTTAACATCGTTAATACAAAAAAATTAAACTTTATATAAATAAAAAGTCACATCATAAGACAAAATTACAAGTATATATATATATATATATATAGTTTATTAAGAAAACCTTAAAACTCTATAATAATTTAATCTTAAAATATGAATTATATCGAAAAATATTCACACAATAATTACATTTTGAATAGCTAAAGCAAACACTATGTATAAAAATTATAAATATTTTTAAAAAATTTCATTATTCATTTTTTCAATATAATTCATAAATAAATTATGAATGTATACAATTAGAAAATAAGATTATAAATAGTTTTTAATTCAATATTATTTGTGGTAATCTTGAATTGGAGCAGATTGAATGAATGCATAAAAGCAAATGAACAACAATACTGAATGAAAATTCAATTACTTTTGTAATTTTCCATCAATTTTATTTTACACTACTCATAAATTTAAAAATATTGCTGAAGTTTTTTTATAATTAAGTACTTAGAATCATCTTCCCTCCCCCCTTGATACTTATGTAATTAAATGACAAGCTTTCAAAATTTAACATTTTTTCTAACTTAAATGTAATTTATAATTATGACTTAATCCTTTGTATTACTTTCAGTAATATTAAACATTTGAAAGAACTTTCCAAATTTTATAAGCTAAAATTATAAGAAAACTATAATGAGAAAGTATGGAATGTTGCATTATCAAAACTGAACTACAGTTGAGTTAATGAAATTTATGAGCTAGCTGATATAGTTCCAACCATATTTGAACTGAAAAACTTTATTGTCTGATTAAAAAAAATAAATAGAATTTTATAAAGTAACATAACAGCCATGCATTATTATAAAATATATAGCTTTGCACACAAATGGATTTTAAATTATTATGCAAGTATTGGAATAAACACTTCACAAAAATTAATATAAAATTACAAATATTATTTCATAAATAAAAATTATGTCATAATTATGTACAATGTAATAGAGAAAATTTTGAGCTTAAAAACAACACATCTTTATACATCAGAGCTGTGAAAGATTAATGACTAAAATTTGTTCTTATGGCACTGCAAGAAGAAGCTTCAACATTTTCAAAATCATCTTCAGAAATATCACTGTTACATTCTGGTTCAACAAAATAATATTCTAAAAAAGAAAAAAATCAAATTTAAATTCAGGACATTAAGTAAAATTTTAAAATTTTTAGAACTTTATACAGATTAACTCAGTTTTGTCATATTGTTATGCACAGTGGTATGAAAGTAGAAACATAATTATAATTAGATGAAGGGTTCTCCCTTTAATAATATATATATATGTATTGTTTCAAAAGAAATAAATTGAGTTTAATTAAAAAAATTAAATTTAAATACATATTTAATTAAATATTCTTTGCACAATTGCTGCAAGGAATGAAAATTATTTTGGCTTTTTTCCTTTTTTTAGAATTTAAATTTGCTTTTTTACTTTTATACGTATTTGTTTAGAATTTAAATTTGTTTAAATTTATATATATATGTATGTACATAAACAAATGTAAGAAAAGACCATTAAGAATTCTGCACCTAGGCTGCAATGATTTAATTAAACATAATCATAATTAAAGGGGAATATTCCTATTATAATTCCTATAGTTCAAAGTAAAATTAACCCTTTGTTGCTCTGTGTTCCACTACATGGAACACCCAACTTGGATTGCTTCTAAAACTGTTAAATTCAACCATAAATGGATAAAAATGCCTTTATAATATACTTTGAACTTCTCTTTTTAAATAATCTATGGCAGCATATCACAAGGAGACCCAGAATTTTCATTTATGATGTGTTATTAAAATCCACTTGTTTTCTAGTAATTTTCTATATTTTTTGGCGATACAAAAAAATTTGGTTCAAAACCAATTTCTGTATAATTTTGATGGCTTTACTCTATATTATTTGTTATATATTTTTTTACATTTTTCATACAAAAAGCATGCGCAGAATCATTGAATAAAACGGGGTGTTCCACTAGCGGAAACACTGCGCATTTAGAGATTTCGTGTTATTACGCATCACAACATCTGTCTTAGGAGAAAACATCTGTTGTATATGTTTTCTATTTCCGTTGTTTTGGGGGAATGAATTCAAACAAAGCAAGTCTTGAGAGGTGAGGTGTGGTTTGTGCTATGAAACCCTAATCTGGTCATCTTGAAATTTTTGTGAGTAATTTTCAGGCGGAATTTTTATCAGTAGCTTGAGTCATTCTTTACTTAGAGCTGCACGAATTTTTTGCTGTTCCTTTTTAGTCTCATTCCCGTTTGTTATCAATAATTTGTGTAGATATTTTTTTTTTGTGTTTGCATATCTTATTTTTCTTTACTGTTAGTTTTAATTGTTAATTTTTATTATTAATTTTTCATAAATGGCGCGGAGAGGTCTAACTCTTTCCGAAGCGCTAAAAGTGCTTCATGAATTACCCTCTTATTCTGAATCAGAGCATGAAGATAGCAGCGATACTGAGATATATGCTCCTGAACCACTCGTGTAATCCTATTGTGATATGTCGGATGAAACTCATTTATTTGATGAGAAGGTTGATAATCCATCTTACACAGGCCTTTCTACACAGCCTCACGTTTTTACTTGGAATTCCAAACATATTGTTGCACAGAACAAGAAGCCGCACAAAACAAGTTTTGTGTTCAAAACCCGCAAAGTTGGTTTGTGCTTCTATCAAAAAGGCACGACATGCTTTGAACAATTTCACAAAGCTAAGAAATCGAAAATTTTTAAAATCTTGTATATAGGACTTGGTATATACATATATTTATCTCATTCATCCATATTATTCAAGAATGTTGTGTATATCCAGAAAACCATGTATATAGCCATAATACAGTGTTTTTTCATTACTATAAAAATGCTTCTACTCATTTCCGTGCTTCACTGCAATACTCGCTTAGTCGCACTTTTAAAATCTCTGGCGGCACAGTGTTTCACCTTATGGAACACCCACAGAATTAAAACGGTAAGTGCAATTTATACAAAATTTTACCTGTATACTCCTTTAGGCCTAGATAGACTGCATAATTTTTTTTTTTTTTTTTTTTTGAAATTCAGACTTTAAAGTATAGTGCACAACAAAGGGTTAAGATAGCCAATAAAGTAAAAGAATTACGACTAAAGTCTAAACAAATTCCAATATATAAATTTGTAATTTTTAAGCAATATTTAAAAGTTATAGAAAAATTTAAAGTTTTTGAAATTTTTTTTGAAAAGTATTTGGAACAGTAAAAGGAAAATTGGCAGATGGAATAATTGCTTCAAAAGTGATGGCTAATAGTAGTGGATATGCATAAAATTGTGGTGGAAAAATTTCTAATAATAATTATAGCCATATAAAGAAAATTACCAAAAAATGAACAATTGAAAAGAAAGCAAAACAATACTGACTCTTCAGGGGGAATTAGCTTATTTCACATTCCTTTCAGCTGTTCAGACATCGTATTTTATCCTTCCTATGCACAGGCAAATCAAAAGTAGAAATGAAATTAAACATCAATATTTAATTCCCCAAATTTAGCAAGATATGCATATGAGTTTGCTAAATTTGGGGAATTGAATATTGATGTTTAATTTGGGGAACTAAATATTTACGTTTAATTTCATTTCTACTTTCAATTTGCATATACATAACAAGGATAAAACATGATGTCTGAATGCTTAGAATGAGTGTGAAATAAGCTAATTCCTCCAGAAGAGTCAGTATTGTTTCGCTATTGCTTCAATTATTCATTTTAGGTAATTTTCTTTATATGGCTGTAATTATTCTTAGCAATTTTTGCAATATTACTATCCAATTCTTTGATTATAAGCTCCAGTTTTTTTATTGTATTTATTTTATCTCTAATGGTAAACAAATTAACCCTTTGCACTTGAGCGGCCGATTTAAAGTATCAACTTAGCAGCACTGCTGCGGTGCCCGAGTGATTTGAAATCTTAAATAGAGTGATGCTGCTACGATTTTATTGTCTTTTGTAACTCTATCTCCTTATTTACAATGAGCGATAAGATATTTTTATCACAAGTACTTTCGTGGACTAGGCTCTACTGACATTGTAGCCAAAACTTAGCTCAGTTTAGTTAGTCTCAGTGTAGCATTCGCTTGAAACAGTCTTGACAGTAAATATAGTAACTAAAAAGTGTTTAAGCCCTAAAAATGTGGAGGAAGATCAGATCAGCTTGAGTTCGGATGAATTCAATTTTGCCACTTTGGATGATGAACTTATATCAATTTCCGAATGATTACGCCGCGAAACGAACGAATCCAGTGGAGAAGACAGTGACGCAGTAAGAAGTGCGAGACGACAGAAAATTAGAATTATAGAGAGTGACAATGAAGTTGAGAGTGATGTTGAAAGAGAAGTTGAAAGTAAAACTGTATAAGGTGCAAGTTGTTCAACATGGGTACTTTGTGGAAACTACAAAAAAGTGCTGCCAAATGTGCAATTTATCTCTGGCCAAAACTCCACAGCAACACAAATAGTTTCTAACATAAAACAACCAATAGATTTTTTTAAACTGTTTTCCACTAATGACTGATATATATATATATATGCAAAAAGAAAATTGGAAGGGAAGACACTATTTGCAAATTTGATTTGGCGAAGCTGGCGTGATGTGACCAATGAAGAATTCTGAGCATTTCTTGCTGTCGTAATAAACATGGGGACGATGCCGTTGGCAAATTTGCAAGAGTATTGGTCGAGGAATGTCGTCACTTATATTCCTTTGTATTCGGATACATTTACAAGACAGATTTAGCCAAATCTTCTGGATGCTTTATCTGGAAACTATTCCAACACACAACACCAATCCACAAATGTGCCTACAACGCGTAAGCTGCTTTTTGGACTATGTCAACTCGAAGTTTTTGGATTATTTTATCCCGGGTGAGCACATATGTGTGGACGAGTCAAGGGTTGAATTTTGTTCATAACATGCAATCCGAAGAAAACCACAAAATGGGGTATCAGAGTTTATGCTCTAGCTGACTCAAAGACTAGTTACATTTGCTGCATTTTGCCATAATATGGATCACTCACCACAGAGCTCTTGGTCAGATCCAATTTACCAGTTTCGTCAAGAATTCCGATACACTTATATTAAATGTTGTTGAAGAAAATTCCAGCTGCTCAGGGGCACCATATGTACACGAACTGCTACAACACTAGTTATTTCTTAGCTCAAGAACTAGCCAAATTGAAATGTAATCTTACCGGAACAATTTTAATGAACAGGAAAGAATTGCCCAAGGAAATAAAAAAAAAACAAATTTTTCGATAAAATCCACAGTCGAGTATTGAAGGGGGCGACACTTTTAATTTTAGGGTGGAAAGATAAGAGAGTTGTCACTTGTTTGACTACGAGGGGTGACACAGGAATGACAACGGTCAAAAGAATTACACGAGGTGGTGTGGATATAATGGTCAAGAAACCCAATATTGTATTGAACTATATAAAATATATGAGTGGTGTTGATAGGGCGAACCAATATGTGTCAACCTATTGTATTCTGCAAAAATCAGTAAATGGTGGTGTAAGCTTTTTGGGGGGGGCATGGAAATTTCCCTGATCAATTCATACATTTTGTATAAACTAGAAAGGACCAAAAGAAAAGGGGAAAATCCACTGAGCCATCTGCGATTTCTGAAAACACTTGTTGAAAAATTGAGAGGATCACATCGCCAGCAACGAGAGCAAGCATCTTTGTTACATTCTGATGAAATCCGTCTAAATGGGAAGCTTCACATAATACTAAAAGGGACTGCAAGGTTTGTTCTGACTGTAACATGCCTGGAGGTAGGCGGGAAATTTCGTATTATTGTAATATGTGTCCTGACAAACCTAGGATGCATCTTGGATATTGTTTTACAAAGTATCACAACAAAACTAATTACAGAGTGTAATATTTATCAAACTTTGTTGTTTTTGATTTATAAATGTTTTTAATGTACTTGTAAAGTGTTTGCTGAATTTGGCCGAAATGTCTCAAGTTGCTGGTTCACGCAAGCAAAAAAGGCCTCGAGTGCAAAGTGTTAATAATTTGTCCTTGCAATCCTAAATTAATTTTAAGTAACTTTTCAAAAATATGCTAAATGTGCCAACCATAATTCATTAAATAAACATTTTTGCAATTCAAATTTTGAATCACAGAGGAAAATCTGAATTTATATTTTCTGTATTTGAGAAATAACACCAGAATGTTTTCCCGTTAAAGCTGAGCTTCGTCACTGCATACGGCAATTCTAAGGAATATCATTCTTAGTTTACGATGATGACGTTCATGAAATAAATACTCTTTGGCAATTTGCTTGTTTTCTTTGAAACATATGTAAACTAGTAATTGAACAATGCCCGTTATATCAATACTTTCATCTAATTGCAATGCGAAATATTTACTGTGTTTTATTTTGTTAATAATTGTCTCTTTTACTGAATTTGCCATTTCATGAATTCGTCGACTTACAGTATAATTTAATAACGGAATATTATTATTAAGTTCATTAGCCACTTTTTCATTGAATACTGTTAAAACAATATCTTTAGCTGCTGGTAATATAAAGTTTTCTCATAATGTGAGCTTGCCCAGTTTTGGCAATTCTTAGGCTTACTAGGTAATTAGTTTCCAAAGCTCTTTCACTTGAAGTAACAAAACCTTTCATTACTTGTTTACTATTTTTTAATCCTGATAATCTCCTCTTAAAATAATCTTTAGATTTCTCCTTTAAATTGCCATGCTTAGATTAAAGATGTCTTTTAAGAAACAATAGCTTTGTACTTTAATTATATAATAATTCACCCCAAACAATAAATTCAGGTTGAGGATACATTGGTTCATTTAATCTCCATTACAAGTAAACCCAAATAATAACTAACTTTCATTATATTTTCTATAAACTTTTTTTTTTTTTCCTTCTTTTCAATGTTCTTAGTGCTAGTAGATTGTCCTGGATCCCATTTTTTACATTTTGGAAATCTAGATTTGTTTTATTATTTTTTCACAAATATTTAAATGCACAATATATTACAAATTCTTCAAAAACAAGCAACGATATTCTCAAATCATGTAAGAAGGAATACAAAGCAACAAGAAGACAAAATAATTGCTGCTAGAGACAGCAAATCAACGTAAGAAAATGGTTCTAATTGAAAATAGAGCTACATGAACCCGGAAATGGTGGCAGCGTAATGTGCAGACATGCTAATAAATCATTCAAGTCTAAATTAAAGAGATATTATTCATCTTTTTATAGGAACTCATTTCTATTTCCTATTAAATACAGCATCCATTTCTATTACTCCTTTAACCTCATTTATGTATAAACTTTGTTTGCTAGAAGAATATATGTGAAACGGATTATTTTGCTAAAGTCTATGAGAGGCTATTGACCTTGAACAAAGCTCAGATTGCATAAATTTACAAGTGTTAGAGAAAAATCTTAAACAGGATGTTACTGTATTTAATTTTTGCATTTAATAGTTAAAAATACCCCCCCCTTTTTTTGCATACCACCAGTTGAGAATCGGTCTAGAGTGATTTAGGATGGATAAATTATGGACTAAATTTTAAAAAAAAGTATTCTTATTTCTAAAATTTCAGCAATCTGCTTATTCATGTATTCGAGCCCATTATTTATTTATTTGTTTGTTTAATTATAGCAAAGCATGTGGGAACTATTTGCCCACAGGATGTATATCTTCACGGAAGATCTTCTAAAGGAATCTGGACTATATTCCCATCACATATGAGAATATCTCTGAAAAATGCTCTTACAGTCAACTATTTTACCAGGATTCGAAATCTTGGACTAGATTACTTGCACTCAGCTGTCTTCCCATTTCATCGGTGAGGAACATATTCAAATAAAATACTAATTTAGTTTTATTATCCTAAAGTTTGCTTGCAATCCCTTCCCATCTCAAATCCTGGTTATCCCTATGATGAAATCTTCAAAAACAGCAAAGCAGAGAGCTGGAAATAATATGACAAAGCTGAGGCAGTTTTCTCACTCCAAACAGAAAATACATGCGTGAGATGGAAACATAAATCTATCATTGCACTTTGCTAATTTTAGTATCACAGGGAAGCAGGTTCTAATTTACAGAGGTTTCTTGAGATCCCCTTAAAGCTTATCCCTGTAAAAGCTGGGACATACTTAACAGAAACATGCTTGACAACCCTGATCCTTCCATAAGTATATTCACATCAAATTGACAGTGGCATATGGTATGCAATTAAAAAAAATGCTTAAGTAATTAATCACATTCAAATCACCCACTGGATTTGTAAAACTTAATTCTTCAGCGAATTTGTGGTATTGGGAAGGTCTTTTAAAATTTGTCAAATCACATCTCACTTCAGAACCACATTATAGTACTATTAATTCCATATTGTTAACACATAACAAAACTCTTATCAGGGAATCTTGCTGATAGTCTGAAGTTGAAACATTAATTCATTTTTAAATAAAACATGTATGATTTCTATTTATAGCAATAAATCATCTGCATTTATTTAAGAAATTTGCTTAAATTTTAAATTTGTATTTGTTTTTCCAAAGTTTATATACCTAAGCTGCAGTTGCTGCAATTTAAATCAGGTCTTAATTCTAATGGTGGCCAATGCTCTGGACGATCTTCAAGAACTTCAAAAAGTGGCATTTCAGTCATCAACAGCTAGAAACACACACACAATATATATATATATATAGCTAAATTATAGCATAATATCTAAGACTAACAATTAAAATAATTTATAACATCAAATATGGTGAAATTTTAATTGAGAACAAAGATTAACAAATTGATTTTAAAAACACAGAAATTAAAGTCAAATTATAAAGTAACAAGGAACAGTACTAACTGTATCAAGCAAATCTGACATTACTAGAGAAACTGAAGATATCAAACTTTAAATAAACCTTTCTGACACAACAAAAATATTAACACTATGCAATAATTTACTGTATTGAATTTCAACTGACAAATCTTTCATCGATCAAAAATTTAAAACTGCTTAAAGCAATGCTTTAAGTAGCAACAGCAACACATGAGGCAGCAAAAACATCATGAATTCTAATAAAGTGTGAAAAAAATTAGGCTAATGCTCATATACGACTAATAATGTTTGAATTTACCATAATCCCCTCACACCCAGTGAAATAAATTTTCAGCTATATAACTTACCAAAATTAACATCATTTAAAGTTTTAAATAATTTGCTTAATAGTTAATGCATAAAGCTTATCAAGCAAAAAAATAAAGATTTAGATTCTGCAAAGAATATTTTATTACTGCTGTTACAAATTTTGTGCACAGATAGATAATTTTAGTGAAATTGTTTTACTTTTTTTGCATACTGTAACATGGAAATCTAAAGGAGCAAAGCTTGCTGAAAAAGTAAGAATACAAAAGTAAATCTATTTAACAGTGAGTAAATGGCTATCTCTCTAAATTGGCTAGATATCGTCAAGCTGGCAACAGTTTTTGAGACTAATTTTTGTTGCAAAATTCGGCAATAAATCTGCAAAAGTCGCCAAACTTGGCAACATTTTGGTTCGACCCCTGTATCAACGTAATAGGTATTGTAATTGAATAAATTAAATGATGTTGTGTGTAGCTGTTACTGTAATTCAGCCCTCACATGCCTTCCTGTAATTTCTAAAAGCAGTAAGCACTAGAAATATCTCGGCAGCTGAGTAAAACTACATAAGGACAGAGAGAGCATCTGCACTGAGCAGCAGTTGTTATTGTTTTGGGCTGTTAGCTCAGCATGAGTTCTGAGTACTATCTCCAGTTTAATTTAGCTCTCTAGCTGGGCATTTGCATTGCATTGTGTTTAACATTCTTAGTAGTCTGAAGTGCCACTACTAATTGTTCTCTATGATACAGTGAAGTTTTATGGGAGTGTTTTTGTGGAAAGTTCCAGAACACTAAAGTGTTTCTTTTGATAAAATAAATTTCATCAACCCATCATTGGATCTGTGTGCATTCAATCGGTAATGAACACGTACGCATGCAACACTATTTTGAAGATTTTTACTGTTTAATACCATAATGAAACTAAAAATGCAGAGTATTTAATTTAATATACAGAATGTTTTTAAATATATAAAACTTATTTAATAAGCAGTATCTTAAGTAAAACAAAATAAAAGTACAGTTTTAAATTTTTAATAGTGAAAATAATGGTGAAGTAAAAAAGCAGTATCCCAGTATACAATAATTAATTTGCACTTTATAAAAAGATTTTTGCCTATTCTATTTATAGAGGTTAATGAATGTAAAAATATGCTCCAGGAAGAAACAAACATGGTATTTGCATATTATCTACTGCCAAGAATTTTGGTTATTGACAAAATAATTTTTGTGGTAATATGAGAAACGTAAACTTCACTTGTTAGATTGGAAATCAGGAATATTCCTTCTGCTGGTAAAGTGCACATTTCTCAAAGATAATTAATCCCTCTGGTGACAATTAAGCTGTTTGACACAGTTTTCTTGGTAACATCTGATGGATATTAATTTCTTACATTATCAATAAGTGAATCATACAGCTGTTGTAAATGCAATTTGGCTATCTTCAAATAAATTTTCTACATTCATTCTTACCTCACATTCTGTAAAGAGACTGTCACATCATACCTTCAAAAATAAGAACAGTAAAAAATTAATAGAGGAATGCAAAAGAATTTTTCTTGACAGAGCTGTTCCTCTCAAAAAATGTTAATAGATTGATTGAAAAATAAAATTAGGAATACTTTTGAAATTCAACCTTACATATTATTCTTATTTTGCAAAACATATGCTTGAAATTTTCTACAAGACATGTTTTTATCCTTCTGAATTACAAACTTTCTTTTCAGAATAAATGCATGACTGATAGAAAAGATTTTGCACTGTTCCTGTGTTGAACTTCCATGATGTATTTTCTTTTGTAATACATAATTTCATTCTATGAGAATTAGAATTTTTTGACAATATTCTCTAAGTAAAGCTAATAGCTTTAATTTCATTATTTCTCAAATACCTGAAACCTACAAAAAATATAAATAAGTCCAAACTAATAGAACAAGATAAGAATAAACATAAAACATGAGTGAAAAAGACTGAGAAGTCATAGCAATGAGGAAGCACAGATATTTATCATCATCCGGCACCAATCCAAGTCCTCAGGAACAAACGATATACACATATTAATTATTACTCAAATATTAATGATATATCTAATATTAACTTCTGTGCAACATCTAAATGCTAGTCAAGCTTTGCAGAGGTATTAAAAAAATAAGTGTTAAAACTTTCTCTGTACAGAGAAACTCTTGTATCTGTGAATAATATATTTTCTGTGCAATATCCTCCCCCACCTCCAAAAGAGAGTTTTACATCTTGCATTCTATTTTGCCAACCAAAAAAATTCAATTTGTATTTTTCATATCTCGAAACTATCACCCAAGATGCATATGATATATTTTAATATAAATCAGCTTTTTCTGAAACAGCATAGTACCTATTTTTATCTATAGTTTGATTCTGTTCTTTAAATAAAACTAAAGTATCAAATTTTATTAAAAATTGCAAACGCAGTTTCTTTTTTCCTCCCTCCTTTACTCTCTTTCTCCCTCCTTTTTGAGAAAAAAAATTTAGGTCTTTAATATTCATTAAGTTTGGTTTGTATTTGATAATATTACCTTTTTAAATTAAATTCTCTTTCTTTTTTCTGACATAATCTGTAATTTTAGCAAATCCATTCACAACAAATTCCAGACGGATGGCACTGGACTTATGGCAAGTTTATCATGAAATCTTTTGTAAATGGCACTATTGTGTGGGATATATTCCTATGAATTTACTTCTGTTTGATTCTTGCATCGGTAACAACTTTACTTTTTCAGAGATAAGTGAGGAAGCTTGTCTTGTACTTTTCTTGAAAAGTTTTTCAATGAATTCAAGAGGGTGTCTATTATTTGTTGAAGTCTGTAAAATATATTTATATTCATTTTTGTAAAATATGGGTGTAGAACAGAAATTTTTAGCTTGTTTTAAGCTTGTAAAAAAGCAGCTGTTTTATGAGGATGAAATTATGGCGTTAACTGCTGCACTGCCAGTTCATTTAAAGCAGTCGAAGGATTTAGTTTGAAGAATGTTATCAGTTCTTAAAATCAGAAGATAAAAAAAAAATTTACACTTATAACATGTAAATTGCACATTCGAGAAATTTCTGAGATAAACGAAAGCAGTGTTTTGAGTTCATCTTCTGATTGTTTCCACAAGGCAAAGATATCATCAATATATCCCCCCCCCGGGAAAAAAGAAGGTTTTGGAAGAAGTTAGTAAAAACAAATTTTTTTACATGTGCATACAAATTTTAGCCAAAATAAGAGTAATTGACCTCCCAAAGTGTTTTTTTTTTTTTTTTTTTTTTGTATGTTTGTCTTGTGTGTTTTAAATACTGTATAATTATGGATGAATGGAAAACTCCATATACTTGGATGTAATTTTGAATTTTTCAATTGTAATTTTCAACAAAATTATTTGAGACTCAAACTAACACATGGAGAAAAACAAAAACTTAACATCAATGGGAAGTATGGTAAGATCGAGAATATTTTTGGAATTTGGGCAAGAAATTCACTTGAATACCATTCAAAACATACTTGCCATAGATTATTTTAATTGCCATTAAACTTATTTTAATACATTGTATATGCTTTGAATTTATTTTTGATATACTGTCATAACCATATTCTATATTTAAATAGCACACACCTTTGTATTATATCAAGTGTTTTCACTACCACATTTTTTCTTTTATGTTTTTTATATTAACATAAAAAAGGGAGTGTGAGATACAAGGAACTATTATAATGTAAATAAAAATCAAACATAATCTACAGTATTTCACAGTACTTACCATTATTTATATGATGACTCATGAAGTGGTCCACAGCAGCAAGGAAGTATGAAGCATAGTTTATATTTAAGCACAATTTATATAGAAAATTGGCGTGTAATTATCTTATCCTTAATATTATACTGCAATCACTGATCATAATACTAATGTAATAGATTTGTGAAAAATGTTTGTAGGATTTTTCAGTTACTACACATATATTTAATTAATTAAAAACAATAATAAAGTCTTAAAATAAAAGAAAGATACAAAATTTAGTTAACGGAAGAAAATGAGACAATCAGTTTTCAATGATAAACTATAGACTGCCCAATTAAACTGTACTTCATTTCAGTGTCAAACATTTTATATTTATTTTATTTTCAGCTCACATATTAAAAAAAGTTTTATATAAAACAAAAAATATTCTAAAAATTTATATTAATATATCCTTTTATTTACATATAAAAATTTTATTAGGATATAAAAGCATTCAGAAATTAAGATCTTCCCAAAATTAAATTATACATTCAAATGCTAATACTTACATTTTGAACCTGTAAACACCAGTCTTCAAAATCTTCTTCAGATTCAAAAAAGAAACACTGCAAAAAATAATCAAAATTTAAAATATGAAATAACAAAAATAGTATTTTTAATGAGAGAAAGTGAAATATTATTATACAAGAAAACAAAGATTACAGAAATTCTTTCTTTCTTTATTTTTTTAAAACAAGAAATTTTTGTTTAAGTTACTATTTAAAGTATAATTTTTTTTTTTTATCATTTCAGACAATTGATTTGCACTTCTTAGAAGTTTTCTGACTTTTAGGGAAACAATTTTTTCTGACTGTTTTTACTTTCCCTGCCTTTTCAGGATTTTCCAAGATTTCCCCAGGTGACTGGGCACCCTGTTTTAGCAAAGAAAACTGAAAAAACATCTAAGAGGTCAATAATGATTAAGAATAGCTTCCTTGTGAATTTGCATTTTCTGAGATTAGTTTATATCCTTTAATATAAAATTTTTAAATACTTCTTTCACCAAATATTATACTATAAAATAATTTCAACATCCTCATTATGTTAACAAAAATATCCAACTTAACTAATAATCCAACTTTTCTAAACATATGTGAATATTCATGGCTAACAGATTGAGAGACACACACATGCGTATATGAGTGTGTGTGTGTTTGTGTATATATAAAAAAATATAAATAAACAGGAAACAACTCAGCAATAGCCAGCAGCTGTTAGAGTTTGTCCTGTTGAGTCAGCAATAGCCAGCAGTTGTGCAATGGCAACAAGAATTAATGAATGAATGACATTCATAATATTTTTTCTAGCTATAATAAAACCTAGCTATATAAGCATCACTCAAAAAAACAAGGCACATTTTACATGAATAACAGCACAAACACTTGAAATTACTGCATTTTGGGCTAAGGAAAATCTACACAGCCATTTCCTGAAAATGAAGAACTGCATCTTGCTACATGTTTGAAGCCACAGAAGATCTGTTACACTCAGCTATTAAATATACTATACATTGCCTTCATTTATAAAAATTCAAGATGGAGAATAATACTAGAAAATATTTTAAATCATCCTGTAAGAATATATCTGGTGTTTGTGCAAATCACGTAAAATACATTGCAATATATGCATTTATGCAAATCAGTTTGTGTTTTCTATATTTGCAGAACTCAATAGCATATTTCTTTCTCAGATTTCATTTGCAATCCTTGAAAATGCTAAAACAAGTGGTTAAAATATTTGTCAATATTTTTCTTTTTTCATTTATTAAATAAGTTTCTTTTTCCATACCAACCATAAAACACCCCTAGTTGATATTTTTAACTAATGCCCCCTTACAGAATGCTTTCCACATTCTTTGAATAGCATATGTCAGTCCATTTACTGATTACAACAAAATGCCCTCAACAGGCCCACTCTAACTATGAACATTAAGTATTTGTTTTTTAGTCACTAATAAAACTTGATAATAATCTAGTTATCAGTCTTAAACTTACCTTTAAAATAAACAAAAGATAAAGCAAAACTTTGCTGCAGTAAAACAAAAACACTGTATTTACTCTTCCTCTTTTAATGTACCCCCTTAGCTTTTTCAGTATATGACTGAGATACATCAGCTTTATGACAGAAATGTACAAGGTATGGATAATTAGCAATTAAGTTACACTGTTAAGTTAAAAAAACAGCATTGAAAAAAAAAATTAATTATAAATGACTTTTTTTAATTAAGTAATACATCTTTTAGGTATGCTTTCTGGTTGGTTAAACCATTTCTTTAACTCTTCCTTGGATAATGTACAATTTTCCTAACTTTAAAAAATAATAATAATAAAATAAAAAGTAAAGTAGTACAAAATGGAAGATTTTGAAAGTAAATACCATAGTTACATTTTGATGATTTGATAATTAAATACCATTAATAAAAATTACTGCTATCCAATAATAATTCATTTTTATTGTTAAAAAAATCAAATTTCGGTGATTTTTCACAGATGATGATTTTGAAGTCTAAAAAACGTAGAAAAATATAATCTGTAAATACTATTACATTATCTTACACTTTAATAATGTCCAAATTATATAAGACAAATCCAAAATGCACATAAACATATGAATATAGAACAAATTTTTGAAACATAACCATAAAATTAAAGACTAATATCACTAAAATTATCACAAAAAATTATTTATCAAAAGTTGTAAAATACTCAAAGAAATTTTTCAAAATTTCAGTTTCAATAAGATTTATTTTCAGCTTTATACTAGAGATAGAGAAGGGTCAATAGTTGCTATTGGCATCCGTTTGCTTTCCCCATATGGAATATGAAAAGAAGAATCATCAAATTCACTTCCATCTAAATTAACTGTAGGTTGGACAACATGTGGATCCAAGCATATCAGTTCATCACCTGAAATGAAAATGAGCATGATGAGTAACTGGATACACAAACATTTTCAATTTGTGTTACATATGCTCATCTTCAGGAAACTAAAAAATAGCAAATCTTGCCCTTAAGTAAGAAATTAACTAATTTAGAAAAACTCTGAGAATTTAATAATTGTCAAATTCCTGGTGACTGATATATATCCCATCCAGAAGAAAAAAAGAAATATGTGAACATATTTAAACACAGTCAGTTTATTTCATAAAAAACATGAATCTTAAGCCATAAAAAAGAAATAATAAATCTTCCAACACTATTCTTAATTTTTAAAAAATATGCATGCTTATCACAAATATTACTGCAATATTTTCCAGAAACTGAAAAAATATGAAAATGAAAGAGAAACATGCTAATATAAAATTTAAAATAAGACAAAAAAAGTAAGCTTAGTTTGACAAAGTTTTTGAAAAAAACTATCGATTTCAAGGGCGATCAGACAAGATCTTTTTTCTCCAGAAGCAAAAAAAGTTTTAAATTGTAAAATTATATTCAAGAAATATGAGGTAAACTTTTAGAAGTTAAACAAGTTTCAGAATTTTATGATCAAAATCAAGTTTACCTAAGATAGTTAATGTCTAAGTGCATCTATATTAGGAAAAGTAAAAATTACTATTAAGCTTTTATAGTCTCAAAAGTGAAATTTTACGTAAATCAATTTACTACCTCTATGTATAAAATACTCATACTTCACAAAACCCAGTAGATTATTTTGGAAATTGGATAATATTCCTAAAGGTTCCACAACATGTCTTGCTCTTTATGCTTAACCTCTTATGAGGTGGGAAAGAGCAAGCTTGCAATGATAAGTTCCACATAGGGAACTTAAAAGACTTGGCTCGCAAGTCGGCTATCTTGAACCCACTTGAGCACAGACATATTTATCATACTCATCTAACTAATAAGAGGAGATAATGGCTGAACAAGCATAAAACACTGGTCGCCATACTACCTACCTTGATAAGTGTTAATTAGAAACCTGGTTCATGTATTTTATAGCCCCTGAGCTGAGACTGACAGACTATAGATTTTAGCCAGTACAATAAACGTCGGGCAGCATACTAACATTTTAGTTTATTAAATAGCAATCAACACAGACAATCATTTATAATAAATAAAATGGCAAATGACATTAAATGTTTTGCTGCTGAGAAAGCTAGTACAGTATTCAAGAACATTTCTACAATATATCTTCGACAAAAGATAAAGCTGATAACTTCTATATCAAAAGTTGCTGACTTCTTTCTAATCAGATAATCACAGATTTATTTTTTAAAAAATTTGAATTTCAGCAACAAAGAAGACTTAGCAATTTGATTCAGTTTAACAACTGACAGGTATGAATAATTTGTATCCTTGCAGTATAAAGCATAAAAGTCCATCAAAATTGGTACTCTTTATAATGTACAACAGATATAGTCATATAAACGATGGTTGCAAAATAAGTAAATAAATCATATTTATTTTCCAATAATACTTGCACATACTTACATCTATGTATTCATACTCTATAAAATAACTTTAATGAAATATCAAAAATGAAAAAATCATACAAATTTCATGCAACTTAAATAAAAATCACACAAAATAACATCCATACCATTTAAATAAAATTTTTAAAAATCATACAGACAAAATAAACTGCATACTGTAAGACAACATGAATTTTATCATCATGATTAATGGATATTGCTTTTATATGTAGTTTAAGGTAGGGCCATCAGTAACTAAAACAGAGCATTATAATTATGTCCCTATTTGAAATCTTTCCTATCATAAGTGATAATCTTATTTACTTTATATCCCAAGAAAAACTCAAACTATTCATACATACTTTCTCAGTAGCACAGATACATTGGAACCAGCTGTGCCTATTACCTGTTCTCTTCGGGCCCATGTATGAAAGGGAGAAAAATTCTGCAACAGAGAATCCCTTGAATTCACGGACCAAACTTTAAGGGTAGGCAAAACGCATATAAAGAAGCATTTTTTGTATAGTGATGAAAGGTCAGAAATGAAAAATGTAGGCAGAAAAACATGAAATGCTGAGGAAATGAAAAAAGAACTTTATTTACATAATATTACAGTAAGTGTTTAAATGTGCCACCACCAACATTAATACAGGTCTGATATCATCTAGCAAGTGAATGGCATACTTTACCCTTTCAAAAATACCAGTTATTTCATGAACAGGTACAGCAGCAACTGGAAATTTTGCAATGAAGTCCTCATTAGAGTCAATTGGAATCTCATAGGTAAGTGCTTTGAGGTGTCCCCATTTATGTAAAGTACAATCTGATTGAAAGTTTATGTGCAATGTCTCCTTCTTTAGTCGATCGTGCGTTACTGGTCAAATTCTTTTACCTCAACCAATGCAACACGTCAGCCGCTCTTCGTGCTTTTAGAACGCACAAAAAAATGCGTAAAGGTAACGATCCTGTGTCAGTTAATGGGCTAAAAGCAATGGTTGCAACGTTTGAGAAAACAGGTTCTCTGAAGGTTCAGTCAGGCAGAGGAAGAAAACCTGTACCACAGGATACAGTCGAAGCAGTTGCCACAGCGATTGTCGACAGAGGACCAGACAATATTGCTGCCACCTCTAAAGCTCGTGGAGTAGCTCGGAATATGGATATGCCATACAGTACAGTATAGAAAATCTTACAAAAGATTATCAACTTCTATCCGTACAAGATCAGCCGTGTACAGGAGTTACTGTACCCCAACCATGATAAGCGATTGAATTTGCTCTCACCTTTCTTGCCAGAATGGAGATGGATGATGCTTGGCTGTGGAAAATCTTATGGGAAGACGAGGCCCACTTTTACCTGAATGGAACTGTGAATACCCAGAACTGCCGAATTTGGGATGACAAACTACCAGTCACAGCAATTCCCTCACATTCATCAAAGGTAACTGTTTGGTGTGGGTTCACAGTGGAATTTATCGTAGGTCCATTCTTCTATGAGAGCATTACCCCGACAGGACCGGAAACCTGTTCTGTTACCGGAGAGAAATATCGCCACATGTTGAACAGCTTTGTCATTCCGGCACTTCAGCAAAGACAATGCCTGGGGGAAATAATTTTCATGCAAGATGGAGCCCCTCCACACGTTGCTGTTCAGGTGCAACAGATGCTACGACATTAATTCATAACAGAAAGAGTCATTAGCCGCTACTTTCCAACTGCATGCCCACCTCGGTCACCTGATCTTACCCCATGCGATTTCTGGTTAAGGTCTATCAAGGAGTGGTCCAGGACCTGGCTACGTTGAAGGATAACATATCACGGACTGTACGGGAGATTCCTGCAGACATGTTACTTTCTGCTGTTGTGCATACTGTGCACAGAATGCAATAAGTGGTCCACAACAACGACAGCCACATTGAACCTCATTTGAATGCAAAATAAAAGGTAATCTCCGTATTGATTTGCATTTGTTAACACTCTATTTTCTATTACACAGTACCAAATATTCCCCTAGCGGTGACTTTTGGAATTAATTTGTTTTTTCGCGGAATCCTTCGTCCCTCATCTTGTTTAATCTTCCTACAAAATGTGGCATCATTCTCGCAAATAGATCGCTCTACAGAACACTGGGAGCACTGTCAGTTTAATTATGGCCACCCGATACATCTGCAGAGAAGCTCGGAATATACTCTGCTGGGAAAAACAATGACAGAAATTTACATGCCAATGGTAATCAGCTGCATCCGGTGCTTGCTTTTTCTGTAAGTGGTATCGAAAAAGTCTTTCCTCATGCAAAATTTTCCCTACAGTGTTTTCTGACACCTGTAGTTCATGCTATCAATCTTGTGCTAAACAGTACTTGGATTATCTTCAATCTCTCTCAAAATATGTTCTTGCATTTCTAGAATTTATACATGTCTCAAGCAACCGACATCCAGTCTCTTGACATGAAATGAGCAGCTCTTGCAAGGCTGGCAGTGTAAGCAAGGAAAAATTATGTGATTTGGCTTTGTCCTATTGGGGAAATGTTCACAGTACAATCTTAACGCCCTCTTCTGTTACAATTTGCAGCCCTATACATAAGATGCATGTCTACTTTCCTAAAGACCATAAACTGCTCCATTACATACAAAATTCTCTAATAGCAAAGACTTGTTTGAAGTTCAAATAATAATTCAATATGTAATTACCCAAACTCAATAAAATTATTTTGAAGACGACCTTGATAATGCAAACTAAATAAACCTCTATATTCAATTATGTTTCTTCCAAAAATTCATCTTTTTTTCAACTATGTCACTAAACTTGTATATTGTTTGCTCTAAAAAAATTTTATAAAAGATATTATACAGCATAACTGTTTGTGACACTGTCCTCTACTGGCCACAATGTTCTCTGATAACTGAATCAATACTTTATCACTGTTAATGGTCAGACGTTTCAGCACTTACTGTAATATTGTGTAGATAAACATCTTTTTTTTTTTTTTTTTTTTTTTTTTATTATTATTATTTCTTCTACATTTCTTGTTTTTCCACCTGAACTTTTCATTTCCGACCCCAGACTGCTATAGAAAAAATGCTTCTTTATATGGATTTTACGTACCTTTAATTGGTAGAATTGGCCTATGAATTCAGGGGCATCCTGTATAATATAATGGAAATTCTCAAAAAAGCACTTCTAAAAGAAAGTGAATTTTTTTTTAAACATTAGCATATAATGACACTAAATATGACAGATAGCATGTTTTCTAAGATATCTACAGTACACCAAAATCATGCGGAACCACCATATGTAGATATCTTGGACAAATCTCACTGTATATGGGCCTAGAACTTTTGTTGATTATAGAAATGATGCAATTTGATAAAACTTACAATTATTGAAACATTAAAAAAACTACTAAAAAAGTTTACACTATTTTTAAATAGCATACTTTTACTCTGGTACGCCACGTGCTGCTATAATTTCGATGACTATTAGATCTTATTTGGTATGGATTGGAAACATTTTTTTACTTTAACTGAATAGTATTTTTATAGCGAAGTTAAACATAATAGAATCCAAATAAATGCTTCAAAAATATATTTACAATAAAAATTTTTTAACTTATATCTAATGCAGGAAATAGTGTCAATAAATTTTCATATTTAGCATAATTTGTAAATTATTCTCAAGAGTTTTAGTTATCATTCCTCTCTTGTTTTGCATTCAAAGTTTTCTACACTTAATAAGTACGATTCACCAAATTCAATGAATCTGTACACTGTTTAAGGAATCAAATTTTAAAATATTTATGCAGAATTTAAAATTGTCCTTGTTACCTGATATAACATCAAACTTAGATGTTTAAAGTAGATGAACTTAGATGTTGATTTGATTTTTAAATTAATTCTTCCTCTATTCTGATGGTCAGAAATTCTTTATCGCCAATGAAACTAACACTTCCTTTGATTCTGACACAACTGCTAATTTACAACTTATGAAGAACAGACATGGACATAACCATGCTAGCTGCCACACATTTTTTAAGCACAAGAACTGGCTAAAAAATAATTTAGACAGACAGGTTGATTGCACTTCCAATTCTGACTATGTAAATTCTTTTGTAAATTTTACAGGGTTGCAATAAGAAAAGAAAAATAATATAACTTAGAATTAATTTTAGTTATAACTAAAACATTTCTAAAATTTTACAGCACTTCTTATCTTAAATATTTCACTTAGAATATTAATAGTACTTCTAATTCTTCACAAACCACAAATTATCACATATCTGATTTTTAAAATTGGATAACTTAACCAAAATTCCAAAGTTGTTATGAAAACCAAGAAAAAATTTATACAGACCTGAATATCCAATAAACCATACAGCATGCCTGGGCTTTCCTCCAATGATTCCTATGCTTTGTTTAAACATAAATGTATTCTGTTGAATACAGAGGAAATTTTTATTACGTCTCAATGTTTATTTACAAGATTTAAAATGCAGAAGACAATGGTGTTAAAAAAACTGGAAAAATAACTTTCAATGACCTGTGAAACAGCATTCCAAAAATTTTTTATGTCTTTGTATATATCATTCTTTTATAAATCTCAAACAGCACATTAAACAAAACTACGAATAAGATAATAAAATATGCGGAAGCTAAACAAAAGTTTAACATGCATAAAAAATATCTATAAAAATGTAATATATAATAAATTTAAAAATAGTTTCTAAAATCATTAAAAAAGTCTTGCAAATTCTTTATCTGGAAAAATACATTAAATATTACAAATACTTCCCACAGCTAAATTTAGGTGAAGGACAGCATTTATCTTGAAATACCAATGTTAAACAACCTCAATTAAAAAGAAATGATGAGGCACATCACATGAACAGCTCAGTTTTTTTTTTTTTTTTTTTTTTGAAGAAGAAGAAGAAGAAATGTATAACTTTCTGAAGTGCTTATGAATTAAAAATGCTTAAAAAAGAAATTAAAGTCAAAATTTTAAGGAAGTAGAAATTACAATATGCATTAGAAATCTCAAATATATGGATAACCACTATTTGGCATTACATCAGAGTTAAGTATGAGCAAACATTCATGTCTAGATTATAAATATTAGACTGAAATATTCAGCAAAATTCTGAAAGCTGATATACTGAAAAATAAACTTGCCAGTAATTTAGAATATACACATAACATAATTTTAGTTTTAAGAAAAAATCCTCGGTTACCTACAGGGAATTGTATTTCTTCATACTTTAATTGCTTTCTACTTAAAAAAAAAACTACAGTATCTATGATAAAACATATTCTAACAGACTTCTCCTGGAACGTAAGTCTTTGCCTTAAAAAGTTGATATTGCATTTCAACCTCAGCTAATTTCACAGTTTAGTTCCTCAAACTATTTACTCGTATAATTTGTGATCACTCTATCAATGCAACAGAACATAATTTGGTCATCAATACCAGTTCATTTAAGAAAAGAAAAGCCATAGCAACTCCAAGGGAAACTCTCAGGTCATCCATTATGATATCCAAATACAAAGACGATACTTACATGATGCAGTATATAAAACTTATAAATTCAATGATAAACTAGTCTCTTCGTCAGCTCAGAATTTTATGTTGTGAACTATTTTGTGGCTAACATAGCAAGGCAATTATTGGAATTCAACTTTTGACTTCTCTGACTTTCTTTGATTTTTGATGTTTATAAGAATAACTTCTCTGATCAAACATGATGAATTCGTCATCACACATTAATAAGTTTAAATAACTAATTTGATGCATTTACTGTAAAATACAATGAAATAATTATAGCTGTTATAAAAACTTAATTTATCTTCCTCATTGTCATAAAGCAAAAGAGATAAATTAAAAAAGTGTGTAATGTGTTTTTAAAAAAATATCAAACCTAGAAAAAAATCTGCTTTGCCTATTTCAAAATGCAGATACATCCTTCAGAATAAATATTACTTTTACGATTTTTGAAAGAAAACTGAAAAGCTAAAAATTACACAGGATATTTTTTAAAAATGTTCAATTAATACTTTTATTTATTGTAAATGCATAGCCACATAGTGTGGTTACTTCTTAATTACATAATTTATTTTGGTACTTTCTGATTATCCACAACCCTGGTTTTAATATTAAATTACCTCTTGTAATGATCTAGTAATTTTGTATCCGATTCAAAAACTTATATCTGTTATTTAAATATTTTGCAGCAAAAATATTACGAAAAATGTTTTACTTAAGTTATATTAATCAATTGCTTTGTTTAACTGAATAAGACTTATTATATTAGGCTATATATCAAGGCTTATTATATTCGTTTACACAACTGTTATTTTAAATGCTATTTCTAAATTAATTGTTAATATCAACAGTGAAACTTGAATGAAGGGCAAAAATGAACAGCATCTGCCGAATGCAAAAATTTTAAATCAGATGTACAGATTTTTTGTTTTTACTCATATAAAATTTCTTGTTTCCCATAGAATGCTTCTTTCTATTATTATTTATAAACATAGCATATATAACATTATAACCTTTAAATATAGCCAAACAAACATTTTTTGGCAATTTACAAAAACACCAATGAGATGCCAACATTTTGAAAAGATGCTAATATTCAGAATATACACTAAAGAACCATTACTGCATAACCACCCAGTTAATAACATGTCGGACCACCTTTAGCCCTCAAAACTGTTAGCACCCAACATGGCATTGACTCCACAAGGAGCTGTTGTGTAGTCTGAGGTATCTGGTACCAAGCACTCACCAAATGGTCCTGCAATTCCCGCACATTGTGAGGGGGTAGCATGACAGCACAAATTTGGTTTCCCAGGTGGGACCACAAATGCTCTATTGGATAAATGTCAGGTGAATTTAGAGACCAAGACATGACTTGAAAGTCACTGGAATATTCCATGAACCACTCCCTGATGATTCGACACTTATGACATGTTGCATTATCCTGTTGGTAAACACTATCCTCTGCCAGAAATACTGTTGTCATGAATGGGTGAACCTGGTCTGCAATGATGTTCATGTAGCGCACAGACATCAGGGATTGTTCTATGGGGATTATGGGTTCTAATGTGCTCCATGAAAACATTGCCCACACCATAATACCTCAGCCACCAGCTTGTCTCCATCCAACTGTGCATCCAGGAGCCAGGGTTTCGTTTAGGAATCAGAACATTAGCACACACATGTCAACGTGATGGACCAGAAAATGTGATTCGTCGGATCATATAACTTCCATTCTTCTAATGTCCAATTTTCTTGGCATGTTTCTTGGTAGATGCAGCTGCCGATGATGTGCTGTCAGTGCAGGGATATGCTTTGGCCTCCGGCTATATAGGCCCATATGCAGCAATATACTCTGCACAATGTGTTGAGAATCACTGTCTGGGTCACCAATGTCGCAGCTGATGGTGATTTTGGCTATTATAGCTCTTCGGTCCCAGCGAACAATGCATAACAATCTCCACTCTTCTCTGGAATCAATGTGCCAGCAACGAAACACTGCTGGCCGGCGACTCGTCGTTTCACCATCCAATACACCATTTTTGATACGTGCTCACAACAACTGCACACGAACAGCCCACTAAACGTGCCTTTTCTGATTTTGGTGTTCCCAGTTATCAAGCCATAATGATTTGACCTTTATCGAAGTCTGATAAATCAGCTGCTTTTCCCATTATGTCGCTAGTCATGCTATGATTGGAAAGACAATGCTGGCCGCTTTATATATCCCAACATTAACCATGCATGTGCAATTGTTTTATTCCTAGGCAGACTGTTATAGATGGAGGGCGTCATAATATAATGGCTTTTTGGTGTATATATATATATTCAAAAATAAAGATGAGTAGAAAAGACTTGACAGGAAAACAGACTTGGATTTACAGTAGAATATTCATACAATAGATATCATATAATTTGGAATAGTCATATAATAGATTGATGTTTCTTTAAATTTATTATGATTTTTCTTGCAATTCTAATTGTTACGTTTTGTAACAGGAAATATTTTTGTTCCCTCTGTGTCCGTTTTCTTACTTTCATCACCCCCAGCACAATGCAGCATGCTGTTCTTCTAAACCAGTCATGTATCATCTCTTTTAAAATTAAAAAATTTTCTTTTTAATAATTACAGTATTAGGTACACCTCCTGTGGAGCTAATGCATCAGGAATTATTTTGTGAACAACTATAATATTTAAAACATATTACCCAAAAGCAAGTTTTTATTAACAAAAAGTCCACAGTCTGTAAATTACTTTCCATGTCTAAAAGGAGATGTGATTAAATAATTGAATTTCTACATAAAGAGATGACAACTCATCAACAGATAGACAGTAAGGCTAAGAGTTAATAAAATTATACCAAATATGGGTAAAATATTTTATACAAGAAAAACAGTTTATAATAACTTTTTCTTTGATTGAGTCTTTGTTTTCTTTCTTTCGAAGAGCTGCAATTTTTGCTTATTAATTATTATTTAAAATGTGAATTTTTTATTATTTGAGAAGATTGAACTGCACTTATTAGTCCAAAGGTTGTTTGTCCCTGAGGGACTATTGTTTTTGTTTCGTGATTTTGCCTCCAATCACTCTGAATACCTGTTTCACTTTTTATAGTGTTGCCACCAAATACATTACATTTGAAGAAATTAAATAATGAAGAATCTGCATAAACCTATGCATGTTTCTCGCATTGTGATAAAACAACGGTACCTAGAGCCATCAAATTTTGAATGATGTAATACTACTGCGAATATGGGCATCTGGAAGCCTAAATTTGGAATTTGTTTTATTATCGATTTCATATTTTGTAAATCTTTAAGGAATTTTTTATTAACAAACTCAAGGATTTCAAAGCGAGCAATGGCAATGTTGTACAGAAAAAAAAAAAAAAAAAACATTTTTATCTCCAGCACATGAGACTGTGTATCGGAAATTCTAAAGATATGCTAAATTTAAAACTATTTTGCAATATTGCTCTTGAACTGAATTTTATGGTTTAAGTGCGAAGAACGTGATATTTAATAAAAATAACACACAAAATGCTAAAAAAACGCCCCTTTGGACATAATTTAAAATCTGAAACCGTTCATATTCTCTGAAACCTTTCAGATTTTCCTTTTTTTATTTATTAATTCACTTTTATGTTTATTTGTTTACTTATTGTTTAACTTTCGACTAACTGACTTTTACAATTATTTTTCACTTATCTGACTTTCCACAATTTTCTAGCCAAGTGGGAATCCTCTACAGACTACTTCTATTTTCTAAAAAAAACTTGACATTTCAGAAACAAAAAAAACCTCTGGAAAATTTCTTTATTAAATAAGTCTTAAACTAAACAGTTTTTTCTTTTAAAAAATTAACAATTTTTTAAATCAATATTTTAATAATTTATTATTGGTTTCTTACTTTCAAGTTTTTAATATATACTGCATTGAATTTTGATAAACCTAATCTCAGTGGAATGAAAAGAAGCATTGGTCTCCAAGATGTCTCTCTTGTAGCAGAATTTACACTTTGCCACCGTGGGCACCTTTTTTCTATGCAATCTGTATACCAGATACTCTGATATGATTTAGGAAATGGACTTGAAGTTAGAGGTTCAGGTATATGTCTGCATAATGTTTCTGAAAAAAAAAATTACGAAAATTATATTTAAATATATATGTGTAAGATAAAAATATGTAAATCAACTTTATAATTAATTTAGTAATAGCCTCTTAATTCCTCATTTTTAATTTGGGTATTTCATCTCTGTATTCTAAAAGTAATAACTTTTCAGCATTGTGCCATTTCTAGATTAATCTATATCACATGGCTTGTATAATGTTGATGGCGTAGCTAATTCAGAATTTGAATTCAAAATTTTGAGAACTGAAACTTCTCTAACCTAAACTAAGACCTTCGCTTGGTAGCTTCCATACTGCATAATTGCACACTTTTGCTTCTACCTCTGTGCCACCTGGATGTGATTTCATTCTGCTCTCTTTTTATCGCAACAGTATCAAAAATGCAAATATTCTGGAAATAGGCACGATTACAGTGAATTGTGGCCAGAAATGTCAATTGAAATAAAAAATGAATATTTAATTTTACTTGGCTGCCAAGTTACCTATTTATTATGAATTCAATATCTTAGTATTCTACGCAATTAGAATTCTTCATCTTTAATATGTTAATACCTTTTAGAGTATCTACATTATAAGATCCTAACTAAATTGGTTGTCCTTGGCAGCTAGAATACTTGAGAAGTGTGTAGCGAATTACTTACTGCTAAGACTTCAATAGCAAGTCCAAAGAAGAGTCAAATTACCCTTTTTATTCAACTAAGCCTCCACTGAGGCTTTAGATAGAAAATAAGAAACTAATCTAATGCTAACTGAACTAAAAACTAGCCAAAGCTACACAGAAATAACTAACAGAGTTGGCCCTTATTTAAAGCTCACCGGCGAATACTAACAGCAGGCACGTAACAATACAGCCAAATGTAGTAAGATTCGGCTTAAAGCAACGATGTGGCCAGAAGGCAGAATATGTCACCAAACAGCACAATCTAGCATGAATTATGGATAAGCATGATGTCACAGCACATTTATGACATCTGTATTTTCAGTTAATGAAGTCCTACTGATTTTTGACACCTTTTGTTTATATAAACAAGAACATAAATTAGCTGTTATTATTGTATTTTCCCCTAGTATTTTGAAAAAAAATAGTTCAAGAAATTTAGAATCACATTCCTGACTGGATTCCGATTCATTTACAGCTGGTCAAGAGAATTTGCATCTGTTGAATAAGGAAAGAACAGCTGGATATGGCCAACAAAACAGTAATAGATTTTAAAAAATCACATGCAAGAAATTTGTATTCATAGCATTAGACCTAAAAAAACAGTAAAAATTGATAAAGGCCTTTTTACAAAACACAAAAATGAATCAAATATTTCCACAGCAATGGCTATTTTGTAGATTGTGCAGAGGTACTGAAAAATGTTTTATTGTAAGAGTTGCAGATATAAATGCATTTCAGAATTCTGCATGAATGACTGATGCAACTTCAGCAAGATCTCCATAAACTTTCATGGTTTAACTGTAGTCAAATTTCAGGATAATACATAAGTATCTTATAACAGTAAACAGGATAATACATAAGTTATAGTTAAAAGAATAATACTTAAGTAGTCTATAATCAAACAAGAGATGTCAGATGAGGCTACAATGCAAAGAGAATTGGTAAGGGTTATAATTGAATTGAAGAGTATATATATGTCAAATATCTAATTGTCAAGCAAATTTTTACAAATTTTATTAAAGCAAAAATTCCTTTTGCACCCACAAAAATAATGCATAACTTTTGCTTTAAGTAGACATTACAATAACAGACCTGAACCTTTCTTCACTCCCCCCCCAAAAAAATGATTTCTTCCCTTTATTGTGGCTACTGACAACAATAGTAAGTCACAAGGATAATCTTTCAATAATATAGGTATGTTTCTTAAACAGCCAGCATTTTCTCACTGACAGTTCTAAGTCACATATACCATAACTAAGCTCAAAGAAAATCTGAGCAAATTTAAAAAAGATGATACTGAACAAGATCATTTGCCAAAGAAATAAAAAGTACTTATTCTCCTCCCCCCAAAAGGAAAGTAATAATAAAATAAATTGTTAGTGTAAATTTTAAAATGAGGTTTTCCTTTTTAAATACCCATTACTAATTTTGAAGGTCTCAATATAACATTTCCTGACTTTGACAAACCAAATGCATATCTACATTATAAACAACAATAAATTATTTTTAACTGATTTTTGAAGGGTAATACAGTAGAACCTCAGTTAACGAGCATAATTTTATTTCCAAATCTTACTCATAATGAGAAAGAATAGTTAAGTGAGAAGACTTTTTCCATAAGAATCAATATAAAATAGAATAATTTCATTCTAAAAAAAATACCAAAATTTATAATAATGTAATTATCATTTATAATATATCCTTTTTTAAAAGAAACTTGTCAAAGAAGACATTTGTTTTGACCTATGTTTCAAAATTTGGGGAAAATAAAAATAAGACACAACATTATAGTTAAATAAATCTGTAGCCTGCATAGCTATTATTTTATAATAGCTATGCTTTATAATAGCTATATTCTTTATTTTATAAGGATGATAAGGATGATGCAACAGTATCCCATACTTTCAGCAACTCCTTTATTTCAGTGAAAGGTTGATGCTTTACTGAGGCTGTCATTCCCTCCATGACTTCTTGCTGAGTCACAGAATGCAGTTCCATAAGCTCTTCAGAGGATAGCTCTTGGCTATGCTCTTTCACTAGCTCACTGATATGTAGAAACAATTTCTAACTATTGTTTCAGCCTCTCAAAGACCTACCGAAGATAGACCAAGAGCTACCACTTCTGCAGATGACCAGGTATATGCAACTTAGTGCACATCCCAACAGGACTGCAACTCCCTGTCAACTTAGATCTTTGCTTCTTCTACAGGAAGGACAGTATCAGCCATAATAGTATGCAGAAGGCTACATGGAAAAGGTCTGTGTGTTAGGCTATAAGGTATTTCTTCCGCCTTCCTAATGTGCCTTCGTGGTTCTGCATGCTGGGCTGATATTCCAGAAGTCCGTGGTTTGGTTCTCGGCAAAGGCGTTTGCTATTTTTCATCTTTCCTGCTCTCAAAAATATACATAATGTCTCTACAGTGGTGCCTGAACTAAAAGGGTTGTGGATGATGACCACACCCAGGATTTGGCGATTGGGTACCCTAAAAACCCCAGTTGCCCTTTAAAAGGGAGAGTATATAAGGTGTTGGAGACGGCTGCTGCAGACAGACGATTACGTAATGGCTCGGCGAAGGTCGGCAGAAGGAGCGCCGCATCTGATTGGACTATTTTTTATTACTCTTATTTTTTTCCTTTAACTGCAAACTAAGCGGGAAAATTCCCTTTTCACTCAGTTATATGTATGCACTAGTTAGAGTAATGTAACGTTTTCAGCTTGTGTGAGATATCCATATTAAATATTTATATTAATAATCCCTGCTGTGATTATTTAATTTGTAACCTGCATGTTGTAGCCCTGAGAGTTGCAACATAGTAAATTTGGCATCCACTACTTTATATTTTTGATGAAATATGGATGTAAAAGTTTTGAAAGCAAAACGAAAGTTGCTGAGAACAGCGTTTACGGTGTGCTGCAGTGATATAGCTCAGAAGATCGAAAACAAAAGTTTAGGAAGTGACGAAGTCAGTACGTTGTTTCGGCAGATTCAAGATAAATTCACACGTTTGGAAACAACTCAAGAAGAAGTTTCGAATTTGTTGCTGAGTGATGATGCCCTTCAAGATGAATATTCCGAAGATTTTTTTTTAAAGCAGAAGAATACCGTGACAAGTTCTGCTTAATTTGTTCGCTGTTAGAAAATGCAAAGAAGGGAAATTCGGTTACGGAAGGAACAACAACCGAGCAAAAAAGGAAATTCAAGCTTCCAAAACTTGAACTGAGGAAATTTAGTAGAGAACTGAAAGACTTTCTTGCTTTTTGGTCCCAGTTTGAGAAAATCCACATAGATAACTCCATTGTGGATGAAGACAAATTTCAATATCTTTTACAATGTGTGGTAGCAGATTCTAAAGCGTCAAGACTGGTCACAAGTTTTCCGCCTACTAAAGAAAACTATTCAAAGGTCATCACACAACTTAAAGAACGCTTCGGGAGAGATGAACTTTCGGTTCAGATTTATGTACGGGATCTACTTTCCACAGTAATGAAAAATGCTGCTGGTAGGATTAAAGTAGATTTAGTTAAACTTTACGATTTACTTGAGAGCAAGCTTATGGCACTAGAAAGCCTCAGTTAGAACTAAGGAAAAATTTGCAGAATTTTTTTAACCACTTGTTGAGTCCTCTTTACCCGAGCCTGTTCTTCGTGCGTGGGGAAGAAGCTGCTCCATGGAAGATACTGCGTCACAGCAAGATAGTGCGCATTCGTTGGATAAACTTTTGTGCTTTCTTTGAAATGAAGTGCAAAGTGAGGAAATGATTAAGCTCGCTCGTACCGGGTTGGGAGCTTCACGTTCTGCATTTCGCATCCACATTGTGATGATCCGGGTTGCTCTACAGCTGTTGCCTTGGTAAATGTTCAAGACAATACAGGTAGGCGAAATTTACGTTGTATTTTTTGTGAGAAATCCCACAATTCTGCCGAATGTTTTTCTGCTCGCAAAATGTCTTTAGAAGATAAACGAAAGCTTTTGGTGCAAAAGAGCGCCTGTTTTCACTGCCTACGAGTTGGACATAGTTCACGGGCATGCAAAAATAAAGTAAAATGTTTAACATGTGATAAATTTTACTATACCATTATGTGCTCAAATGGCGAACCTTTAAAGCCAAATGAAACTGACAGTACCGTTATTCCAAGTAATGTATTGTCTAATCAGTCAACTGTTAAAGAAAATGTGTACTTACAAACACTTGTTTTAAAAACAGTTTTTGAGGGTAGACAACTAACAGTTCGTACAATTTTGGACACCGGTTCTCAGAAATCTTATCTTTCAGAGAGGGTTATCGCGTTTTTGCAGCTGCGTCCTAAATCGAAACAAACCATTATACACAGTTT